CGTTGTCCGACGGCCGGCGCTGGGGGACGGTGTGCGATGACCAGTGGGAGCTGCAGGACGCGCAGGTGGTGTGCGGGCAGCTGGGCTGCGGCCGGGCCCTGGCAGCCCCGGGCAACGCGCGCTTCGGCCTCGGCTCTGGGCCCATCTTCCTGGACGACGTGCAGTGCCGAGGGGACGAGCCCTCCCTCCAGCTGTGCCGGCACCGCGGCTGGGGCCTGCACAACTGCGCACATCTGGAGGACGCCGGCGTCATCTGTGCAGGTGGGTGGCCGGCAGACGCCTCTGGCTCTCCCGTGGAGCTCTCGGCTCTCCCTGCCCAGCCCCCGTGTCCCCATCCCCTCCTCTCTGCCATCACCATCGTTGTACCCTGCGATCCAAAGTGGGGGCTTGTCCTTGCCCCAGCACCTTTCTCATGAGCAACACACTTCTGACTCATCTTCTTCTGCACCCACAGCCCCTCCGACCACCCCGACACCTCCACCAGGTACTGCACTTTTGTGGCAATTTCCATGGTTTTATTCGTGGTATGTCTTCCTGTTGGTTGTTTTTTGGGTTTTTCATTTTGTTTTGGTTTTTTTTATTTGATTTTTGTTTCAGAGGCAATATCAGTTTAAATTTACATGATAATTCTTAGGCTATTATGTCCCCTTTCATTTCAGTGGTGCTTGTTTTGCAGTTGTTTTGGTTGGCTGTTGGCAAAACCAGTTCCTCTCTGTGCTCTTCAGCTGGGTCAAGGCTTAGAAAACGTTATCTAAATCTCTTTTAACCAGATACATCAGGAATGGCAGGGTCATGTTAAGTGTTGCAATGTGTAATTTTTGGCTCTTCTGAAAATGGTACAAAAGTGAAGGTGCTTGAGAGCCTGTGCAGTCTGGTCCAAGGAAGGGGCAGTGCCTGACTACAGCTGATGCTCCCACGTTTGGAATGGCCCAAGAATCCAAATATCCTGAGGCAGGGAGGAGTGTGCTGCACTGGGACTGTCCCTATGCAAGAATACAAAATGGGGGTCATTGCTTTTGCCTGTCACATCTTGTAGGAATTAAGTTCAGAGCTTGTGCTCACCTGCCTGTAAGGAAACTTGTAGGAGTTTCTGTGTGTTGAACATAATAATTTCATGTCAGTCATGCTGGCAGGAACATGAAAGCTTTTTTCAGCCACACTTACGGGAGAAATGAGATATATTTAAGACTTGGCCCAGTAGCCTGGAATGTTTATTTCAGTATGAGATCATAAAATCACAGAGTTTCCCAGGAAACTTGCAACTCATTTATCCTCCAAAATTCTTAGGGGAATAAAGAGAAGCAGCAGAGCAACTGAAGGGATGCTGTCTGTTCAGGAAGGTACTTCGATTTTTACTGTCATAACACCTCCCAGAATCAGTCCTCAACTGCAGAAAGTAGAGAGCAGAGCAGAAAGCATCCAGGTGTTACCAGCCCGGCCTGAAGAGGGTGATGTGATACCATGGATGTGACAGGGGATCCCGAGCACAACATGAAATTAAACCTAAAGCAAAACCAAATATTTGCTTTTATTTGAGTCATGCAGAGTACCACTTGCAGTCAGAGGGAGACCTGCTTTCCAGCAGCAGTGGATGAGATATGTACAGCTCAAGTGCAATGTTGTAGACGTTAATGTTAAGTCAATTCGCTTCCATTTCTTTCTGCAGCACCTTATGTTTGTGGTGGATCAATCTCAAATTCCTCTGGGATGCTGCAGAGTCCCTTCTACCCTGGAAGTTATCCAAATGACGCTGACTGTGTGTGGGAAATACAAGTAGAGAGCAATTTCCGTGTTATGCTCACATTTAGAGACATTGTGTAAGTCAAACATTGATTCCTGGGCAAATAACAAAGTCAAAACCTACTGGAGAAGCTTAACAACTTTTCTGAAGCAGGCAACTTCCCCAATTTTAAAGATATTTTCAACAACATCCAGCAGGAAAACTAGAACAAAACCTAGATTAGTGTGGCATTTTCTGTTCACCAGAGTATATTTGCTACAGCTACACACAAAACCAACAAAATCTCTTCCATAAAAGCTTTAAATGCTGAAATATTTTTGTCACGTTAGGCAACTAAATCAGAGTTTCTGAGTTTGACAAGATGTTGATGTTTCTTCACCAGGATGCAAAGTGACACATGCCAGCATGACTACATTGAAGTCTATGATGGACCTCCACACTCTTCCCCACTTATTGGGAGGCTTTGTTCTGGTTCCTTCCCCACGTACACATCCTCTTCAAACATGATGACCGTTCGCTTCCACAGTGACTCTAGATACACCTTCAGAGGGTTTCAGGCTCACTACTCCTCCATCCCAGCAGATCAAAACACTAGTAAGTTTCTGGTTGGTGTTTCTCAAGGCACAAGCTCATTTACTGTTGTTGTTGGTAAAAGAAATACTAGTGTATATTTTAAGATGTTAGGGAAATGGAATTATGCATTTGAAATAACATGAAATGTACATTTTCTAAATGAAGAAAAAAAACAACCTTCAGTCATTAATAAGTCCCTGAAGTGGCTAATATACTGTGTCTTCTTCCACCAGCCCTCCTGTGCTTGCCAGACTACATGCACGCAGTGGTCAGCAGGGACTATCTCCAGTCTCAAGGCTACTCGGCGCAGATGGTGACGCTGGACGACAGTCGCTGCCCGCCAACAGTCACGTCACGCGAGGTTATATTCAACATTCCCTACCATGGCTGTGGGACCACACGAGAGGTATGTTCATCACTCTGGGCACTGAATTGCAGGATCTGCTTTGGAAAGAGTCATGGAAGGGCCGTTGTGGTCCACAGGGCTAAGAATGGAAACAACAAGAACTGGAGGATTTTAGGCTTCCATACCTTGAGGAATCCCCAGGCTTAATAAAAAGGGGCTTCTAGGGAGGAAAACATGGGAAGAAGGTACATGAACTTTCCCTTACTTAAAGTAAACACAGTGCTTTAAGAAGGTTTGGGGTGGATGACTATGGTTATGCCAACTATGACACATTGATATCAATAACCAACACAACTGGTGTTTTGTACAGATGTTCAATGAGCTGGCTCTGCCTTGGATTTAACAGAGAGTTTTTCTCACCTGATTTCTGTTTAACTATGTACTTAACAAGTTTATTTACAATGTGTAGGCAGAAAAGGCAAACATCAAGCTTCTTGTTTTAAAGAGCTTAAGATTAACCTACATTTTAAATTGCACATTGCTCCATCAAATCTTAGAACATAGAAAAGGACAAAAATGCAATTCCTCATTTTAAATTACATGTTGAACAGGAGAACAATGATACAATCAACTATTCCAACGTGATCAAAATCGCATCTTCCGGGAACATAATCAAGAGGAAAAAAGACATTCACTTACATATCAGTTGCAAGATGCTACAGAACACGTGGATGCAGCTAATGTATGTTGCTGAGGATACCATAGATGTGAATGAAAATCAGTTTGGAAGATATGACATGAACATCATTTTTTATGACTCCTCATCATTCTCGCGGCAAGTGCACGACTCTCCGTACTACATTGACTTGAACCAAAATTTGTACCTTCAAGCTGGTCTTCACAGCTCTGACCCAAACCTGGTTGTGTTTGTGGACACCTGTGTGGCATCACCTGATCCTCAAGATTTTGACACTCTGGCCTATGTTATAGTCAAGAATGGGTAAGAGGTGTTTTTTTTTAAGTCCTTACAAGCACAACTGTAATACCTTTTCTGCATTTATTTAAAAGAGCAGAGCCAACCTGAATTGGTTTAGATCTCTTTATCAACAGACTGCTAAAAAGGGGTATTTAGACTTCACTATTATTTTGTTTCACTTACTTCATCCTTGTTCTGTATGCAACATTCAAAGTAGTGGGATTGAGGCAGATGAGATAGTGAAATCTGGAAGCAGGAATCTGTTGTCCTAAGTGTTCAATATTTTAGTAAAACCAAATGCATTTTTTCATGCCTAGTATAGCACAGGTGTTTTAAGTGCCATGAAGGTTTGGGATGGCTGTGGTCATCCCAGTGATGACACTTTGGTGTCAATGACCAACGTGATTGGTGTTTTGTACAGATGTTCAATGAGTTGAGGTCTGTTGTCCCTTTTTCACCATCTATAGCCTCCTCTTGGAAAAAAGGAGAAAAGAGAAAAGAAAAAAAAAATGGTTGCAAATAATCTCTAGCTGCTTCATAGGACTTTAATGAGCCTATATTTAAAAAGTTAATACCATTAAAAGTTAATGCCATGAAAGTTGCATTTTCATCCCATTGTGTTCTCAGCACCTCACAGTGACACAATTCTGCTTCACCTATTGCATTTTTGCAGGAATGTGCATGTTTGTATCCACAGAGTCTAATTCTCTCTTCCCTCTCTTCCCAGATGTGTTCGAGACCCTTCCTACACCACATACTCCTCCCCCAGCAGCCACTTTGCTCGGTTCAAGTTCAACGCCTTTGAGTTCATGCGCCGCCACCCGCTGGTCTTCCTGCGCTGCGAGCTGGTGGTGTGCAGGCTCCAGGACTTCTCCTCCCGGTGCTACAGGGGCTGTCTCACCAGGTCCAAGAGAGATACAAGTTCTGCTGAGGAAAAAGTGAAGGTGGTAGTCGGACCACTTCGGCTTCGGGAAGGGGGTGCTGAGAGTAGCACTGCTGGTAACGTCAAATAAATGTCTCTCATCTTCCCTCTAAGACCACTTAGGTCTTCAGTGCATCCTAGCCCACTGAAATTCTTCAGGATCCCTTTGTAATCCCAACACTCCCTAAATGATTAAGAAATAATTTCCACATTCATGTCACCAGTTGTTTGGTACAACCACATGTTTCTCCTCGTTATTTCTCTTCTCACATCCCTCTAAGAACATATATCTCGTGTTTCACCAGTTTATGAGCTGGAGAAAAAATATGAGCAAGACACCAATAAGTATTTCAATGTTTATTAAGTAGGAAGGAGATGTAATAGGGGGGAAAGTAACAGGTCATCTCTGGAAAGGAAATGTAAAGATTGATCTTACCATCTTGTCTTTCAAATTAATGCCTCTGTGATTAAAATACAAACAAATGTTTCACTGTGCTGAAGAGTGTGGTCTGTTGGACCGAAAATCCCCTGCTTCTGAAATACTACACTGGGAATTTCTAAATATTTTGATGTGGGCTAATTCATTTTCTTGCTGCACCTGCAAATTTGCTCAAGATTTTGATACTCTGGCCTATGTTATAGTCAAGAATGGGTAAGAGGTGTTTTTTTTAAGTCCTTACAAGCACAACTGTAATACCTTTTCTGCATTTATTTAAAAGAGCAGAGCCAACCTGAATTGGTTTAGATCTCTTTATCAACAGACTGCTAAAAAGGGGTTTTGATTTTTAACATTTTTACAGTATGACCCTGGAAATAAAATAAAAAAAGACATTTAGACTTCACTATTATTTTGTTTCACTTACTTCATCCTTGTTCTGTATGCAACATTCAAAGTAGTGGGATTGAGGCAGATGAGATAGTGAAATCTGGAAGCAGGAATCTGTTGTCCTAAGTGTTCAATATTTTAGTAAAACCAAATGCATTTTTTCATGCCTAGTATAGCACAGGTGTTTTAAGTGCCATGAAGGTTTGGGATGGCTGTGGTCATCCCAGTGATGACACTTTGGTGTCAATGACCAACGTGATTGGTGTTTTGTACAGATGTTCAATGAGTTGAGGTCTGTTGTCCCTTTTTCACCATCTATAGCCTCCTCTTGGAAAAAAGGAGAAAAGAGAAAAGAAAAAAAAAATGGTTGCAAATAATCTCTAGCTGCTTCATAGGACTTTAATGAGCCTATATTTAAAAAGTTAATACCATTAAAAGTTAATGCCATGAAAGTTGCATTTTCATCCCATTGTGTTCTCAGCACCTCACAGTGACACAATTCTGCTTCACCTATTGCATTTTTGCAGGAATGTGCATGTTTGTATCCACAGAGTCTAATTCTCTCTTCCCTCTCTTCCCAGATGTGTTCGAGACCCTTCCTACACCACATACTCCTCCCCCAGCAGCCACTTTGCTCGGTTCAAGTTCAACGCCTTTGAGTTCATGCGCCGCCACCCGCTGGTCTTCCTGCGCTGCGAGCTGGTGGTGTGCAGGCTCCAGGACTTCTCCTCCCGGTGCTACAGGGGCTGTCTCACCAGGTCCAAGAGAGATACAAGTTCTGCTGAGGAAAAAGTGAAGGTGGTAGTCGGACCACTTCGGCTTCGGGAAGGGGGTGCTGAGAGTAGCACTGCTGGTAACGTCAAATAAATGTCTCTCATCTTCCCTCTAAGACCACTTAGGTCTTCAGTGCATCCTAGCCCACTGAAATTCTTCAGGATCCCTTTGTAATCCCAACACTCCCTAAATGATTAAGAAATAATTTCCACATTCATGTCACCAGTTGTTTGGTACAACCACATGTTTCTCCTCGTTATTTCTCTTCTCACATCCCTCTAAGAACATATATCTCGTGTTTCACCAGTTTATGAGCTGGAAAAAAAATATGAGCAAGACACCAATAAGTATTTCAATGTTTATTAAGTAGGAAGGAGATGTAATAGGGGGGAAAGTAACAGGTCATCTCTGGAAAGGAAATGTAAAGATTGATCTTACCATCTTGTCTTTCAAATTAATGCCTCTGTGATTAAAATACAAACAAATGTTTCACTGTGCTGAAGAGTGTGGTCTGTTGGACCGAAAATCCTCAAGTGATGGACTGAGCCCCTGCTTCTGAAATACTACACTGGGAATTTCTAAATATTTTGATGTGGGCTAATTCATTTTCTTGCTGCACCTGCAAATTTGCAGAAAATACCTGCCTCTAGGCAAGCAGACTATCACAGAATTGTGATTGCTGCCTCTTGATCCAGAAATGTCTTTTCTTTTGGTTCCCATAGTGTTCTCCTGCATGCCACTCGAAAGCAAAATGGCCCACATTGTTCAGGGCACTTCTAAGGACCTGTCCCTCTGCATTTCCCCCACCCCATGTTCCCTCCAAAGCAGATGCTGATCGAGCCCTGGGCATCCTCTCCCACCCAAACAAGCGTTGCATCCACTGCTGTTTCCACAGCATCTCCAAAGGTGAGGAGCTCAGGAAGGGTGACAGGATCTTCTCTTACACACCAGTGAGGAATAATGGTCCTCTGCAGCCAGGCTATTTCTCTGTTATCAGAGAGGAAGCTTTTCCTCCAGTATTTCCCTCCAGTATTTGACTTTCTGCCCATCACTTGTGCTTTGGAACATTCCTGCATACTGCTGTGAAGAGGTGTGGGGTATCTCTGTGTTGGGTGGGGGTTGGGCACACCCCTGTATTTGTGGCTACAACATGGCACTTTAACAGAATAAAACAGTAAAAGGTGGGTAAAAAATAAAATATAATCTGGCAGCAGAGTCAAAATACATGTCCAGACCTTACAGGAAAGGCTCCTTGGTCCCTCATTGTTCATAGGCATATTTGTAAAGCTGAAAAGCAAGAGAGAACAGAAATCTTCATGCCCTGAGAACTCTAGAAAAAAATTCCCAGCTATTTCAGTGCAGCTATGGTTGCTCTTTTCCCTCCTGCCATTTCTGTTACCTTCTCACGACACCCAGCTCCTACTCCCAAGATCCCTGGAATAGACCTGGTCTCTCTCTCACTCCACATTGTGGCACTTGCTCCCAAAAGCACCACATCCTGTTTCCCACACAGTCACTAGGTCCCTGCTACTGCCTCAGTCCTCCCTGCCAGCCACTCCCGTGCCACTTCCTCCTCAGACACAGACACTGCTGCTCCCCCAGAGCACCAAAAGCACATTAGCTGGAGCTTCCCTCTGCACCCACAGCACCAACACATCAGCTGGAGCTTCCATCTGCATCCTCAGCACTGCCACCCCAGCCCAACATCTTCCCAACAGAAGCTTCCCTAACTCGTGTAGGCAACCTCTTCTCATGCTTAATGAGTCTCACTACTGAAATTGCCATCACCATTGAGAAGGATTTTTCACGTCTACCCTCAATTTTCACTGTTGCCATTCAAGTCCATTAGCTTTTGCCCTGTCCTTCCTGGCCATGAAGAGTCATTTTCTCACCTTTCTCTTTAGGTGAATGTTACTTATTTGAAGATTCATGTTTTTTCCATTATTTTTTCACTTCTCTAGCTTAAATAAATCCAAATTCAAAAGCTACTGAGCTGTTAAAAATGTTTTGTTTGCAATATTTAGGGCTGAACCACACAATCTGATACAAAGGCTTGTCAAATCAATTGGAAACATCCCCAGTGACAAACATCCTAAACCTGGCAAACCTGTAAATCTCATCCAGGAGATCAAACCTCAGAAGACTTTTCATGTCTCTTTTTCAAAAGGCAGAGCTTTGTTCAATTTTTAATTCTTTTGATTGCTGATCATGATGAAATAATTTAATTCCTTTTCTTTTTTTCCCCCCTATGGTTCTGTGCTTTGTGGCTGTGAGGAGTTTCCTTCTCAGGACTTACCCAGCCTTTCAGAGTGTGTTGTTCACATTCATAAATCAGGCTGAAATATGCTGGAAATGCAAACAGCCAAGTCCCATCTAAACATTTATCATTGGTGCATGAAAATATGAAAAGCAAGATCTGGGATTTCTGCCTTTCATGTCCGAGTCAAAACGAAAGCCAAAATGTAAATTAAATTGTTTATTTGGGCATTTGTTTTGTTCTCTTGTTTAGTTGCTTTGTGGGGGATCAGTGTTGCTCCAACCACAGAGTGCAGCCAGGTGCCTGCAAACACAAGGGTGTCGAGCACCAGGAGTGTGTTGAGGCCGCTGCCTTCACTCTTCAAAGGAGCTTTCTGGAGGCTGCAGTTGGGCCTCTTGTCACCTCCTCCACCCTTAGAGATTCGTAGAATGACTCATAGAATGATTTGGATTGGAAGGGAACTTAAATATGATCTAGATCCAACCTCCCTGCATGGGCAGGGACAACTCCCACCAGCCCAGGTTGCTCCAAGCCCCATCCAACCTGCCCTTCAACACTGCCAGGGATGGGGCAGCCACAGCTTCTCTGGGCAAACAACCATCACTTAGCAGTTTTTAGTTTTGAATAGCTGTCTCACTTTGGCATTAGATTATTTATTTTTTATCTGGTGTGTCTCTCACTACCCATCATCGTAATCATAGAAAAGTTTGGGTTGGAACTTGAAGTTCATCTAGTTCCAGCCCCAACTAAACATGTTATTTTGCCACATTGTGCTAAAATCCTTTGCCAATGTCATCCCTGGACAGTTCTTTTGAAGGGGCACTGGAGAAGGTGTTTTTTTTCATGGAAAGAAGATGTATCCATAGCTATTTGGTTTCAAATCCATACTTTTTGGAAAAGAAAAACTGCACAGACTCTGTATATGTTAATGCCACTGTGCTGCTCCCAGTGGTATCAGACAAACTCTTTGGCCAGCAGTGGGGTTAAAGCAAAGCTCAGAAAAAAGTTCTTGTTTGCTTGTTTGTGTCCTGAATTTCCTGTGCTTTGGTGTCCTGTTTATCTTTCTATTCTAATTTTGGAATATGAAGCAGATAATTCAGCTCTGTAGTCCTCCTTCCCAGAAACACATGATGAAAATATTTATGTAATATTTATATAATTGGGTATAAATAAATACCATTTTGTTTCTGGATCCCACAGCCAACAACTAGATATGTTTTCCAGCTGTTAATAACAAATCCCCATGTTTTGAACATTGATATTAAAAAAATAGCCTGTTTGGGCTTGCAGGGTATGAGTAGGAGACATATTTTATCTTGTTTTCCTCACTTTCTCCCCATGCCTTGCCATAGTAGCCCACAGATATTCCTTGATATTAAGCTGAATGCAGCACCTTGTGCTCACAGTTCTGACTCAGGAGCCCTTTGTACCAAATTCTAATTAAACCACTAAATTAATCTAACTCTGGAGATCATTTTCACTTGACTGATTTATTTTTTTTTTTCCTAACTCCACCAGCCTCACCAACCATGGGCAAGATTTTTTAACCGGATTTTACTCTGAAAGGGAAATCAGAGTTGCTGAATTGTCCACCATGCTTAATGAATTCAGAGGAAGCAGCCAAGATATTTCTTGAGGCTGATCCTCCACTGTCCTTTATTTGTGACAAGTTCAAGACAAAATAATCACAATCCTTTGAGGTCCAGCACCCCTGAACCCAAACCCAACTTTTTGCACTATTTCTGTTAAATGCTTTATGTTACAAGGAGATTTTTTTCTTATTTACTTGTTTTTCTTTTTTTTTCATACTTCTCTTTTCTTGTTTTGTTTTTGCTTAATTTATTTTTTTTTTTTAATTTGTTTTGACAGTTTCTATCTAGCTGGGAAAAAACTAAGGAGATACTAAAATTCTCACAGCAGCTTGTATATTTTAGGAGATTTTCTATCTCAGGCTCAAGAAGGATGACATAAAAAGCATGTTTTAATAAGCCATGTCTAGCTGAGGATACTCATCAGTGACCCATCTGGGTCACTGGGAGTGAGATTTGTTTTTATTTCCTAGAATAACACTCAGATCACCTCTTTTGCCCTGAATCACCTGGCACCCATCCAAGCAGATTTTTCCTTGTTCTTTCTGAAATAAGTGAATTACTCACAGGCTATCACGTAGAAATGAACTGGGCTGATGCTGTTCTAAAGACCCAATGTCTGTATTTCTTTTTTTGTCCTTTGTTTTTCCAGTTTTCAGAAACAATAGTTTTGGAGAGGTGGCTTCTCTCTTTCCTCCTCTTTCTGCAGGAAGACTGTGAGGGCTGCATTTTGTCTTTAGACACGGTCATGCAAACCTGTTGTGTTTAAGCATTCTGATGAGAAAACTGGCTGCTCATGGCTTGGATGCTCATGCTGTCTGTTGGATAAACTGGCTGGGCAGGCAGGCCCAGAGGGTGCTGGTGAATGGAGTTACCTCCAGCTGGTGACAAGTGGGGCTCCTCAGGGCTCAGTGTTGGGACCACTTCTGTTTAACATCTTTATCAACCATCCTGGTGAGGAGATAGAGTGCACCCTCAGTAAGTTTGCAGACAACACCAACCTGGGAGGAAGTGTTGATCTGCCTGAGGGCAGGGAGGCTCTGCAGAGAGACTTGGACAGACTGGATGGAGGAGCTGAGGCAAAACTGTCTTAGCCACGTGCCAGGTCCTGCACCTGGGCCACAACAACCCCAGGCAGTGCTACAGGCTTGGGGAAAAGTGATTGGAAAGATGTCCAGGAGAAAGAGACCTGGGGGTTCTGATTGAGAGGTGGCTGAATATGAACCAGCAGTGTGTCCAGGTGGGCAAGAAGCCCAATGGCATCCTGCCCTGTGTTGGAAACAGTGTGGCAGCAGGACAAGGCAGGTGACTGTCCCTCTGGACTTGGCATTGGTGAGGCCAGACCTCAAGTGCTGTGTCCAGATTTGGGCACCTCAATACAAGAAAGACATCAAGGTGCTGGAGTGGGTGCAGAGAAGAGCAACTGAGCTGGTGAAGAGCCTTGAGAACAAGTCTTATGAGGAACAGCTGAGGGACCTGGAGCTGTTTAGTCTGAAGAAAAGGAAGGTGAGGGGAGACCTCATTACCCTCTACAAATACCTAAAAGGATATTGTAAAGAGGTTGGTGCTGGTTTCTTCTCACAAGTAACTAGTGATAGAACAAGAAGGAATGGCCTTGAGATGCACTACAGAAGGTTTAGACATGGTGAGCTGCACACAGTACGTGTAGAGCAAACACTTGAGCTGAGCCTTGCCAGTGTGGAACAAACCTTCTTTGTTTCATAAAAGTTCACTGGATTTCTCTAAGGAATGTATTGCTGAGGAAGACAAGGCGACTGTTCTCTGCCAACACTGCAAGGACTAATCCAGGTGTCACATGGGATGCTTCCCAGAGGCTGTGAAGTATGACAGCTGGGATGACACTTACAGATCAAGCTGAAAATTAACTGTTTAAAATGCAGACCAGAATTTGTGCAGTCATGAGGGATTTCTGGCATTGCATTTTGAAAAAAAAAACACAAAACAACAACACAAAACCAACAAAAAACATTGTTTCCTAGCAGATTAGGAGCCTGTTGCTCCAGTACTTCTTGAGGCTAAGACCTCGGCCAGCTCAGGGTACCCCTATCCAAAGAGGTGTCCCAGATGGGACTTTCCTTGCTGGCACTCACTCTGTCCAGGCTGATGGGCAGCACAGGGAGTCCAGGGTGGGAGATGCTGCAAATCCCTGCAAACCTCTCAGCCCAGGAAGCCACCTTGATGGACTCTGGGCAGACCCACCACTGTGGATGTGGTGGCTCTGGGGGATCTGGTCTGCAAAGGGCTGTGGAAACACAACCACCCCCCCAGCTCTGCTTTGGGACAGTGGAGAAACTAAGAGAGGGAAAAGTCTGCCATTGTTCTTCACTTGGCATATCGAAATTTGTCCTTAGCTGCAGGCAGCTGGTTCCTCTGCAGCCAGCCAAGGATCCAAAGATCCTCTTGGATATGCCAAGGGGAGGGTTTAACCACTGGTCCCATAGAAGACAAGGGCTTCTGAGCAAAGATAACTGAAAAATCAAGGTATTATAAACAAACCCTTACCAAAAAATATTAAGATAGTGTTTCAAAAGTATCTCCACTGTATGAAATCACCAACTTATAAAACAAAACCAGGCTAGTCAAACTGCAGAGCCCACCCCTTTCAATCTGCATGGTTATACATCCTGAAACATGTTTTGTCAGCAAAAAGCCCCTCTCCAGCTTTCCTGTAGCCCCTCAGGTACTGGAAGTTGCTTTAGGGTCTCCCTGAATACTGAATTCTCTTTCGTGTACTGGAGGGGCTGAGACAAAAACACACTGACAGATGAAAAGGGGTCCCCAGCAGACAGGTAGGAGTATTTAGTAACAACATGGTGAGCTGCACGTGTTCAGAGATCAGTCACAGCCCAGACACAGGCAGATGAGCAGCTTTTCTGGCCTGTGGGTGCTTAACAGAGAATAAAGTCAAGAACTTCCCCAAATTATATCCACCTGAGTGTTAAGTTGGGATAAATTAGGCTTGACTCTGTATGTAGAGTCACATGGATGTTGACACACTGACCTTCACTCCAGGCAGTGGTTTATCCACAGTGTTGCTGTGGATCCCGGGCCACAGAAAGTGGATTATTCAGGAATAACACTGTTCTGGAGGTACGTGCTTTAGGAGCATGGCCTTGCCCCAGGGACCCTGAAAACCAGGAGCATGGAAGCAGGTTGAGCATGTGTGTTCATCCCTAACTGGTGAAATGAGAATGACACAGGAGCCTCTCTTCTAACCTGCTTTGTGGCACCTTAACTCCTCCTATCCTTGACAGCAAGTGCCAGCTCAGGCTGTGGAAGGCAGCAGCACAGGTGGAGAGCCAGCTGGAGAGACACTGCTGCAGGAAAGGACTTGGAGTTCCTGCTGGACAACAAGCTGACCATGAGCCAACCATGTGCCCTTTGAGCACTGCCAGCCGGTCACAGGAGGTGATCTGTCCCCTCTGCTCAGCACTGCTGGGACCTGTAGCACCAGAATGGGGCTTCCCCCTGCAAGAGAGGCACAGGCATCCCAGAGCAAGTCCAGCAAAGGGTCATCAAGATCTTCAGGGGGCTGGAATACAAGATTTACAAGGAGATGCTGAAGGACTTGGGCTTGGTAAGTCTTGAGAGTGTGAAGGGGAGGTTCTGTTGCCATCTATAGTCACCTGCTGGGAGGGGGCTGAGCAGATGGAATCAAATCTCTTCTCAGAGGTGCAGAGCAATAGGACAAGAGGCAAGAGGCACAAGTCAGGACACAGGAAATTCCACCTGGATATAAAGGAAAATATTTATTTTTACTATGAGGCTGTCAAACACTGGAGCAGGGACCCAGAGAAGCTGTGGGATCTCCATCCTTGGACGTATTCAATTATCTCATAGACACAACCCAGAAGAGTCTACTCTGGACCTGTCTGAAACAGAAACTGGACCAGAGACCTCTGGAGGCTCTTCCAGCCTGTATAGAACTTTGATTCTATTTTTCCATGGAGGTCCTGGGTTCAGGGAAATTTTTTTCTTTTGTGTCAATGAGTTTGGTGAATGGATGGAACCACTGTGAAGGGCACATTGAAATATCTGATAAAGGAACCTGGTGAGCTTTTTGTGATGGTTTCTGGGATATAAGTTGCCTCAGAAGTTGTCTGCAACCAGCAGGTTTGTGGACATGCTCTATTTATTTATTTTTTAAATTAACATCTGATGCTGCAAATTTCTATCCAGCTAAGGTTCAAAAACTTTTAGAATATTTCAATCAGTGTCACTCAGAGTCCATCCAATACTTTAATACGACTGTCGCGAGCCGGTACCGGGGGGCTACTGGCTGTCAGGATGTTTTCACAACTTCCCCCCCCAGTGAGGAGAGGTTTGTTAAAAAGCCCAAGCGTCCACCTCTCCCAGAGGAACGGCCGCTGAGGGTTCGTTTCTAAGGGGGTAGATTAAAGTACCCTCCCACTACGCTCACAAACTATTACTGAGACCGATGTTTAGTTTGCAATTAATCAATTTATTAAGGGACAATACAAACTAAGGGATCAAGGTTCAGGAGAGGTTTACTAGGTACGTATATTGGAAAAGGGATTCAAAGGCACTAAGGTTTATGAAGGCACACTCCGAAGGAGAGGTGTAAATCAATGGAGTGAAAGGGTAGGAGTTGAGCCCAGTAAATAAAGTTAAAGAGTCTGTGTGTGTGTGTGTGTGTGTGTATATTTACCCTCCTTCCTTCTGTAGCGCAGTTGTCAGAAGTGCTGGCAGGCTGGGCTGGAGATCTGCAGGGGGGCCTGTGTCCCAGTAACCGGGGTAACCCCTTCCTGCTGCTGGCAGGGCTCTGGTCCCGTGGCTCTGTGGCAGACATTCTCCTCGCAGTGGAGTGGCACTCAGGCAGGTTCAGGTGCTGCAGCGGGGTCTTGTCCCAGGCAGGCAGGAAACAGAGCAGGTTCTGCTCTCTTTTTATGGACCAGAGACCACGGTTCGAGAAAGTACTGTCTGAATTAGCCAATCACCATGGGCCAGGTACATATTCTGTTAGGAGCAGTTTTTAATCTGTTGTTTGTATTTCTGCCAGCTATCGCAACCCTTGTGCTGCTTCTTTTGCTCTGCACCTATCTGGTAGGGCAAGAGGCCTGTTCATTCTGTCCTTGAGTGAATCAGTGAAAAGGCGTCACTCTCGCTTTGCTGACTTGAAAGGCATTCTTTGTTTAGTCTTATGTGGAGGGGGAAAAAGATGGACTGTTCCCCACAACTACCTTCAAATCATTCTAGTGACCTGAATCTGCATTAGGCAATTCTATTTGCTAATTGCCAAGACGAGGGAGGAGCACCAAAAGATAATCCTGCCCTTACAGAACCAACAAGCTCTCCCGCAGGAGACTTGCCATGGACTTCAAGTCCTAATCCCACCTGCCTCACCTTGACAAAGGTTCTATTGAGTGTCCACAGATTATTTATTTGAGGGAGATAATCAGGATAAACCAAACCCAAAGGTTTAGATTCATGACTCTTTGACAACCCAGAGGCAGGGAGCAATGAGAAGGACCCAGGGCTGTGTCAGACCCCTCTGAAGAAGGAAGAGCCATGTTCAGATTTCTGGTAGTTCCACATCCTTACCGAAATTTAACCCTGGTGACTTAAATATCAGATGGTAAAAAAGGTTGCAAGGTCTAATCCTGCTCTCCATTGGTTTTTCAAGTTGTTAGCAGGGAAAGTCAGCTCATTATCTCATAGCTCAGCATGTTTTTCACCTTCAGAGCACATGGATTACAAAGAGTTTAATCAGCCAGTTGTTGAACACTTTCTGAAACAAAAACAGGTTTTGCAAGGAGAGGTTGAGTGTAATCATAGAATGTCTCAAGTTAGAAGGGATCCATAAGGATCATGGAGTCCAACTCCCTGGTCCTCACAAGGCTACCTAAAACTGAACCATAAGACTAAGAGTGTCATCCAGATGGTCACTGAACCCTGACAGACTTGGTGCCCTGGGGAGCCTCTTCCAGTGACCTCAGTGAAGAACCTGTCCTAAAAATCATAGTTAATCTTACAAAACTTGTGATGGTGTGTATTTTGTCTCTTGTCTCCTCTCACAGCTTCTATGGGAACTGAAATACCTGGCGATTTCAATTTCAAATTTATCCAACCATTTCTATCTTGAAATAATTCTCCCTAGAACAAGCAACTTCCTTTTTGAATCATTACCAATTCACATCTTATTTAGTTTCTTCAGTTGTTCATGCATGAGAAGAACTGAAATTATAGTATATATTTTGGTCACAATGAAAGTAGGAATGCTGATTTACAAAGTTTTCATGATTGTTAATCTATGAGAAGAATTTATAACTGAAACTGAAACAGATTTCTGGTTTGCCAGAGTACTGAAAGGGTGGGACTTCTTGTGTGTGAAAAGCTTTTTCACTGGAAAAGGTTGTTAAAAGCTCCAAAGTCTTAAAAAAGAGAAGGTAAAATTCAGGAGTGGTTCTGGAGTTGACTCGTGTTTTGACTGATGTGGTTATATCCTAAATAACTAATAATACTTCCACTGTGTAATGTTGCTTACTATTCATCCAGCTTTTTTCCATACCAAGTGTTTAACTGCATCAATCGCCCAGAAAGTCACTGGAGCACTCTTTGCTGCTCACTTGGTAGCTCCTGTACCCAGGTGTGTTAGCACAGCCTTACTTGTGCAAGCCTGCTCTGTAGATCCCATCAGTGTCCAGAGAAAAGTGATCTACATTTCTCTTTTTGTGCACTTTTTTCCTCCTATGTCTGAGCCACTGAGGATTCATGTCTGGAAGAAAGTTTTCCTAATTAATTTATGTAGTTAGCTTGATTGTTTCTTGTAGTTTATTTTCTCTACTAATTCAACTTCCCTAATTTTTTAATTGCTCTTTTCATAATCTTTCCTTAGTAACTAATAGCACCAAGCATTAGTTCTATTTATCATTGTTCTTTCCAGTAAATATCTATCAAAACTGGATGCAGCTTTGCACTTAAATCTGCCAGCTGCCTTATGAATTAAGACCCAGACCATTGCTACATTCCTTTCCTGAGGAAAATCCAAGTGCCAGGCCCATTCATTCTATTTGCCCTTTCCAAGGTGCCACGGAGGGTGTTGGGTCATGCAAGGGCTCTGCTGCAGTCCTCTCCCAGGGCTCAAATACTGCAGAACAAACCCTGGGGTTTCGTGCAGGCACAACTCCCTGCTCTCTGCAGAGAAGCACTTGTGAATTCCCCTAAGCAGGTTTTATCTTTAACAACACTGCTCCTGAGGAGGAATATCAGAAGGAGAAAATTAATTAGAATCAGTGGAAACTTTGGTTCAGGGTACTCCTCTCTCCTCTTCTATGATTTGAGCTGTGATGCCTTTAATTTGGGAGGTGTTTGGGTTGGGGTTTGGCCATTTAAGGGCTGATTTCCGTGTCATCTCTGTGCACTTTTAAATCAGTATTGAGTATTCTTAGGTAGGGATGTCTCTGAATCAAAATCCTGAGAAATTGTTATGGTCTCCCCAGACTCTCAGGAGACAAAGTTCTAACTAGAAACGTGGCTTTCATCAGTGAGTCTTCTTCCTGGAAGGAATCAGGCTTTGACAGAGTCAGCATTTGGTTAGACCATGCGCTTCAATCCCTGTTTCTTATTGCATTGATTTGACTGTTGAGCTACAAAGATGCTGAAGGGAGTGGAACATCTCCCTGCTGAGGAAGGGCTGAGGGAGCTGGGTCTGTTGGGCTTGGAGAAGAGGAGACTGAGGGGCGACCTCATCAGTGTTTACAAATATGTTAAGGGCAGTGTCAGGAGGATGGAGCCAGGCTTTGTTCAGTGGTGCCCAGTGACAGGACAAGGGGCAATGGGTGCAAACTGGAGCATAGGAGGTTCCAATTAAACATGAGGAAAAACTTCTTTGCTGTGAGAGTGGCAGAGCCCTGGGACAGGCTGCACAGAGAGGCTGTGAAGTCTCCTTCTCTGGAGACATTCAATCCCCCCTAGACACATTCCTGTGTGATGTGCTCTGGGTGACCCTGCTCTGGCAGGGCGGTTGGACTGGATGATCTTTCGAGGTCCCTTCCAACCCCTAAGATTCTGTGATTCTGTGATTCTGTGACTATGAACATCTACTTAAAAGAAAAGGAAAAGCAGTATTAGCCACACCTCATTCCCTGGCACCACCAATGCACTCAAAGGCCACTACAATTTTTTGTAATAACAAATGCTTAGAGGGTGCTGGAGACAGTCAGGGGCACTGGTGGGTCACACTCTGTGTGACCTCTGCCCAGGAAACCTGCTGAGATTGAAGGGATTAGCTAGAAGCTGAGAACACCTCTTTATGAAGACTGTACCATTGTCCACCCGAACGTGAAGAGCAGGAAAAGCTGCAGGAGTGCAGCCCATGCCAAGATAAGCAACCTGTGTTGACAGAAAGCCTTAGCTGGGTAACAGGATGAAGTGACCTGTCCCACCACGTGCAGAGCCAAGAGCACTGATACCCATTTACATTGGCATCATCTTCACCTCTAGCAAAGGTTTTCCCTCCACAGGGCTGGACTGGGGCTTCCTGGGCCTGGCTGGTGACATCCTCATCTCCTCTGGGACTAGGAAGCCAGACCCAGCACCCAGTTCTGCTCCCAGAAGGTGGCTTCATGTGTGAAGTTTCCACTTTCCTCCATCAATGAATATGGGAAAGCTGGTAGAGGGTTATGTTAAAGGGGGTGTGAGTTACTTCACCTGGGCTTTGGCCTTGTCTCCACACATTGTGCATAAATACCTTTCACTTCAGAACTTAGTGGGGCTGAGTTTAGTGGAAAGGCTGACAGAGAGAAAACTTGGAAAAGGAATGCATTGAAAGAATAGGGATTTTAATTGTAATTGAGACCATCTGGACAGCTAAGCAACAAATAGAAGGCCCTACACAGTTGGTGTGGGTAATACAGTGAATATACAACATCAAGGGCCTCAACAGGACAAGGGCTGCTGTTGTCAGGTAATTCTGCTGCCCCTGATGCAGCAGGGATTGGAGCTGGGAAAAGCAGAAAAAAAGACAGTCTCTGGCTCTACTGCTTCTCGCTTTCTTTGTTACATCTTCTCCACCTTGCTGCTCTTTGACAAAGTTTTATTTTATTCCCAGGTTTGTTTTTTTCAAAGTAGAACAAATAAGAAATCTTCATTTACATGCACATCCTGAGGGCCTCAAGTTCATTTGAAGCTGGCCCTTCTTCCCTGCTTTCATGTAAAACTGAGGGAACAAAGCAGGGCATTTCTTCCAAAATCCATGTTATGGCTTGTCTGTATTATATTTAACTAAATCATTTCCATCATGCTTCACAAGACGCTATTTTTTTAAGCAGGTACTTCCCAAAGGTGTCTCATGACTTGAAAGAAATACTTCCCATGTCTCCCCAGGTGGGTCAGATAAGTTCACTCATGTGGGGAATCCAGTATATTTAAAGAAATATCAAATACATCAATATAGCAGAGAGAGAAATGCACCATGTTGTGATGTCACACACATCAGTAATTTCTTTTTTTTTTCAGGGAAGAAGAAGTACAAATAGGTATTTGTACACAAAATACACATATAGGAGCAAGGCAGGCAGCCCTGGTTTGTTCCTGCAAAGATACTTCAGTGAAACTTTTTGCAAATATCAGCTATGAGCTCTCAGGTGTCATGGTTTATGTCCTCTTTAAGTGGTAATGAGAGGAGAGCTGCACAGGAGGATGAAACAGATGGATGCCTGCAGTGGGCCAGAGCTTCTCCTCATCTCCATTTGGGCAGAAACCTTGGCAGAAGACAGGTGAGGAATGGACACAAGTCTCCCGCTGCCTGTAGCTGTCTCTTTCATACGTTTATTTTCACCTCTGCTTGCTTGCTGGTCTTTATGGGCCCTACAAAGCACCTTGCTCAGAGCAGTTCTCTCCCCAAGGACGGTGCCTGGCTGCCCTCCAGTGGTGGCAGCCTCCAGAACAGCTTTGCTTTGAGCCCCTCAAACCATGTTAGACCCAGATCTTTGGGAAAATTATAACGCTAACTTTCCATGAAATTCAGATGTTTGCATTCCTTTGGTTGAGCTGCTTTTGTTCACAAGTGCTGGAAAAGTTGCCTGGTCAGAGCTGGGGAGCAGGGTGACTTCATGGAGAGCTTGTCCTTTGTCAGGAGGTGTCCTGTGAGGAGTGTGTCACCTTTATAAACACATGCAGCTCTGTCTGTGTAGGCACAGGCATAGCCCTTTGTGTGTGCCATTTCCCCAAGATCCAGCTGCCAAAACCATACAAAATAGACACTGAAATTCTTATCTAGTTAGAAAAAGCCATTTCCACAGAGGGCTGGTTTTGCCAGTGCAACAAAACCCCACTTCACAAAGGGAGCTGAACACCCAACCTCCAGCACAAGACTGTTTCTCTAGAGATAAAAGCTGTTCTGTTTCCTGTGAGCGAGTCTGGAGAGATTTCTGCAGGAAGATGTTCTGGGAAACAGCTTTGCTGTCCCCAGACCACAAAGACCAGCCCTCCCGTCAGCACTGCTGGCTCCTGCCACCTGGGATTAGGTGCTTGCTTAGCTTTGGCCTGAAGCCTGAGACATGAGCTGTGTCCACAGGACTCTAGACTTCCAAGAGAGAATGTTCCTGAAAGTCCAGCAGCAGCCAAAGAAATGCATTGGAAGGTGGTTCTGAAGTGCACTGCAGTGGCCTGTGCCTACCAGGCTTCTTCTGTGCCTTCTGCATGACATGGTTCAGATCCCAGAGCACAGAGATCTGGGTCAAATCAGATTTGTTCATCATTGTTTTGAGGATAAGGTCTGAATGGGATTTCACTTGGAGTTTTGGGCTGTTTCTAAAATATCTTTTTCATTATCAAAAGCAGTGTGACCAGCAGGTCGAGGAGGGGTGATTGTCCTCCTTCTTCTCTGCTCTTTTGAGACCCCACCTGCAGAGCAGGATCCAGTTCTGGAGGCTTCAACACTGCAAGGACATGGAGCAGTTGGAGCAAGTCCAGAGGAGACCATGTAGGTACTCAGAGGTTTAGAGCAGTTCTGATCTGGACACAGGCTGAGAGAGTTGGGCTGTTCAGCCTGGAGAAGAGAAGGCTCCAGGGAGACCTTAGAGCAGCTTCCAGTGCCTGAAGGGGCTCCAGGAAAGCTGGGGAGGGGCTTTTGACAAGGGCATGGGGTGATAGGACAAGAGGGAAGAGTTTGAAACTGAAAAAAGGGAGATTTAGGTGAGACATCAGGCAGAAATTCTTTGCTGTGAGGGTGGTGAGAGCCTGGCCCAGGTTGCCCAGGGAAGCTGTGGCTGCCCCATCCCTGGATGTGTTCATGGGCAGGCTGGATGGGGCTTGGAGCAACCTGGGCTGGTGGGAGGTGTCCCTGCCCATGCAGGGGGGTGGAACTAGATGAACTTTAAGGTCCCATCCCACTCAAACCATTCCATGATTCTATGATTCATAGGTGAAAAATGTTTGTATAAAATAGCTTGATTGCTGTCAGGAAATGTAAGTGGCACATACTGTTCTGTTCAGGCCCAGGTTAGAGTTACATGGATGGAAATACACTGATGTGGATTTTCCATAAACCTACTTAGTCACTTCAGGAAATGACACTGAATTCAAGTAATTCACACAGAGACACGGAACTAGGAGTTTAGATACTTGACATCACCATGTTTGCTCAAGAAGTTACTGTGAAGGGAAGAACGTAGACATCTAGATTTCAGGTATCTGCTAAGAAAATAAGAAAAGCATTCACAGAAAGGGAGAACTGATGTTCCTTTTTAAATCAGCTTTGTTTTCTTTCTCTCTCTAGCTGAGACCCTTTTTCTCCCTGACAGTACAGAGTGAGGTAGAGCTGGAGGCATTCCTTGGGGTATCAGAGACCACAGTGGGGTTGTCACCAGCACCTCATTCCAAGGAGAAGGCTGTGTAGCTTGAGGGATCCTGCTGGCTCCATGGCTTTGCTGGAGACAAATCTTTTCCAGTTGTGTAGGGTGCCTGCTCTAGTTGGGATTCCATTTTTTCATGCAAGTCACATAATCTGGAAAGATACCATGAAAGCAGATGGCAAAGGTTCATCTCTAGCATGGCCTGTTGTGTATTCCCTCTATCCAGTGACTTTATTTCATGCTTTCTCCTAGTCCTTTATTAATTTGTATTTATATGGGCACTACAGTATGTCCTGCCTCTCCTCCTGTGATCACATACCTCTTGCCAGTAGAATAAAAACCTGATTCTAGTTCCTCCCCTTCACCTGATAAATAAGGGCCTTGATTCTTTTGTGTAATATTTCACAGGTCCTGACAGACAAAGGCTTCCCTTCCTCAGGCTCTGTGCAGCCTGTGTTTATGGGGGGATGTGACACACAGGAGTGTCAGACACCATGTGTGCTTGTCCTTTGAAGGCAAGGGGAAGATCTCAGTCTAGTTTGATCAGAAACAAACCAGCTGTGACACGGGCAGATGGAGTGCAGGGCACAAATCCACAGTGGAGTCTTCATCTTATCCACCATTTATGGTCACTGTAAAGTCAGGAAGGTGCCTAATTCCCTTTGGCAACCTCATAGCTAATAAGGATCATTTGGATTTCCCCCCACTGAGCTCCAGTTTCTTGGGAATCACAGCAAACCAGTGTAGCTCACTGGACAGGGCCCCAGGACTTCAGTCTGTACTGGTCTTCCTCAGAGCAGGGCTTGTCCCTCTGGTTATACATACAGATTCCTTCACTTGCACAGTTTTAGCTAAATGTAGCACCTCTGGCTTTATCTTCCTCCATTTCCTTGGCTTTAGACCTACTGATACACCCCCAGAAGTTCTTCTTGCCCAACCATGCCTTGGCCAATATCTTACAGCAGTTTCATTGCTCTCCAGGCTACGAGGGAGAGGGAACTGCAGATCTGAAACAGGCTGGAGGGATCTACTGCCAGGCTGAAGAGGAGTCACAGAAAAAAGAAAAGGCATAGAAGCTACTTCTTACAGGAGCAATCTGTAGCAGAGGGAGTTTGTCTGAGAGTATTCTGACATTTATGGGATGTCAGTCTTGGTTTTGGCACAATTCTCACACCAGTCTAATCTGGTTTAATATGGTTGTAAGCTGGAAACTGACTTGCCTGGTGGTATGAGAATCCCTACCAAACAGCCTAACCTCCAAAAGTAAACCATTGCTTCCTGGAACAACCACATCATTAACACATGGGCACAAAGGTGCCCAGGGAGTGTTTGGGAAGATCTGGGCAGCCAATCCGGAACAGCGCGGGGACCTGGATCTGCTTATCCGGATGTCTGGATGTGTTCTGTGAAATGAAAATATGCAGTAAATCACTGCCTTGGCGTTGATGTGGAAGAAGTTCAGGAAGAAAGATCAGATTGCACAGCACACACCTCTGGTGTAGACCAGAATGCATTGGGTATAAATTCTGAAGCTGCCTTGGGTTGGAGCAGACACCTCAAGGAACATGGACCGTCAGGCCCAGCTTGCTTGGCTGCTGCTGCTGAGTGCTGCTCTTCTATCTGAACCAGGTACCATGTCTGAATCTTTTTCATTCATGTCTGAATTTTCCAGGTACTATCTGAATTCATTTCATTTGCAGTGAAATGTTACACATGGAATTGGGTGTTAAGACAGACCAGCTTTCTGGGAAGTGGTGTTAAAGGGTGTCCTAGAATGTTGCTGACAAGCTTTGTCCTGTAAAGTGTGGATCATTAGTTGCACTGGAAGGTTTAATTTCTCTTCTAATTCAAATATTTAGGTCAAATTCATAGGTTATATTTCCAAGTATAAGAAGGAGCTATTTCCAAAAGGAAGAGGAGCTTTTGTCTGTTAGGACCTGTGAGATTTTGGATCTGTGAAACACTATACAGAATTGAGAACATATTTGTCAGGTGAAGGAGAGAAACTAGAAACAGGTTTTTTATATTTTCAAATATAACCTAGGAAGGCTGGAAGCTGAAGAAAGATGAATAATATTTTATCTTCTGTGAGGGGAATAGTTTGGTGAAGTTGTTCTCTAAATGGTCTTCTTCTTATGTTCTAGTTTGGAATTTAAATTCTTCTATAGTGTTCCTTAAAAGATGTTGAGGAGAGAAAAAGAAACACAGCCTTTCAGATCCAGGTGGAAATAGACTTTACTGTTGTGCCATGTTCCTTCCAACTGCAAACAACAACCCCAAACCTTCCTTATAATCTTGCTAGTTTGAATGAGATGCTTTGATCTATCAGGATGGACACCATGGATAAAGTCTTGTCAGTCCCTTACAGAAAGAGGAAATGTCATGGAGTGTAGATTGAGGGATTGGCTACATTGAATTATTTCTAAAACAAGAGCAAAGAGGCAAGTTCAGCACCAAACAGGACTAAGCTCATCTTCAAGAAAGTGGTTAAATCCCCATCCTTCAGCAGCCCTATAGTCTTGGTCCTTATTCCATAGGTTCACTTCTGCCTTTGATTTGACCTCATGCAGGCTGGGTCAACTTTGACTGGAAAAATCTCATAGGATCCTGTCTTGCAAACCCAAGACTTTAGTGTCACTAAAGTAAAAGTCTGTGAGTGTCTGAAGATCAAATGCCAATGTGAGAAAATACATAAATTATGAATGAAAAATCCCCAAACAAAATTGCTTCTGATTTTAGTGACTGAATCAGGCACAGCTCTTCAGAACACATGAAATCTGAAAGCATGGAGATCAGGGTGCTGAGCCATCTCAAGTTAAGTATTGTATTACCTAGAAAGGTTGGACTAGATGATCCTTGAGGTCCTTCCAACTTGGCATCTATGATTCCATGATCTATTATATTATTTTTTTAAGCTGCCATTTGAAAACCATTGCTTTGACCCTTGGCAGCCTAAATCCTTTTTCTTTTCAGTGAATATATGCAGATTTTTAAAGGTATTTATGAGACTAAACCTACAGATTACCAAACCACACCACCAGACCACAGTTTTGTACCTCATTTTGGTAGATCATATAATCTCCTGGTGTCTGAACCATGATGCCATGGTCTGGTTTAATCAAACATACATTTTTTAATACTTTAAGCAGTAAATAATATGTTCTTCACTGCAGAGTTGGACAAAGTTGGGTTTTCCATGCAGGCATTTGCAGAGATTGAAGCTGACATGCTGGACTCTCAGCCAAAACTGTCATGGGCTGCATGGACCAAGGGTCCTCAGCCTCCCTGGTATTGTGGTCATCACACATGGCAAAGTAACTCACTCTTTCTGCAGCCCCAGGGAAACCTGGCAGAGCTCAGCTCCCAGAAGCCTTAAGTCTTCACCAAAAGTGAAGGATGTACACGAGGACTTCTGGTATCAGATCTCTTTGCTCTTTGTTCTGCTATGAGATAAGGTCCTCTGCAGTCATCTCCCACTGAACTATGAGGATCACGGAATGTCAGGGGTCGGAAGGGAGCTCGAAAGATCATCTAGTCCAACCCCTGAAACTGAGCATGTCCTTCCAGACACCAGGAGGAACCACAGGATTGCTTTGAAAACACACCACACACCAACACTTACTGTATCTAACCCTGTAGCAGCACCACCAGGCACCATCTCACAGCAAAACAGACATTATACCTAGAATTTTTGGTATTTTACATCAATACTAACATGTTTTCTTATTTGCCACAGCCACTGGGACATGGTGGAACCCATCAGGAAGCTCAGAAACTGGAAATCCAAACTTATGGAACAAATTTGTAAATTGGCTAAAAGACAGATTTGCACCCAAAGGTAAGAGGGTGAGACAAGGTACTGGGGACACAGAAACACTGGGCCGCCCATCCCTGCATGGATGGAGGTGCAAGCTTAGACATTAGAAGTTTAGATATCCTGGATATAAGCAGATGGAGATGTTCACCTGCCCATTTTTGCTTTGGTTTCAGAAAAGCTGCAGCTGCGACTGGTTTCCGGAGGGGACCGGTGCTCCGGGAGGGTCGAAGTTTATCGCAATGGGAAATGGGGCACAGTCTGTGATGATGGCTTTGGCTTGAGCAGTGGCAGTGTTGTCTGCAGGCAGCTTGCGTGTGGTGAAGTTGATTCTGTCTTGGGAAACTCCTACTTTGGCCCTGGTGAAGATGACATCCTCCTGGACGAGGTGCAGTGCAGAGGAACTGAGTCTCACCTGTGGGACTGCCAGCACGCTGGCTGGGACACACATGACTGTGAGCACCATGAGGACGTCAGTGTCATCTGTTCAGGTAACAAACAAACCAGCAAACAACATTCTCTGCTCTTAAAAATGTCTGGATTTTTTTTCCTTTTGACCATAAATTGGTTGTACACACGTGCTTGCAGCCCAGAAAGCCAACTGTAGGCTGGGCTGCATCAAAAGCAGTGTGAGCAGAAGGTCAAGGGAGGGGATTCTCCCCCTCTCCTCTGCTCTCATGAGACCACACCTGCAGTGCTGGGTCCAGTTCTGGAGCCCCCAGCTCAGGAAGGACATGGAGCTGTTGGAGCAAGTCCAGAGGATGATCAGAGGGCTGGAGCAGCTCTGCTCTGGAGACAGGCTGAGAGAGCTGGGGTTGTTCAGCCTGGAGAAGAGAAGGCTCCAGGGAGAATTTCCAGTACCCGAAGGGGCTACAGGAACTATGAGGTGGGGAGGGGAACTTTTTATATGGATGTGGAGTGTACATTGGAAGAGGAGAGATTTGGGTTAGACATTAGGAATAAATTATTCACTGTGAGGGTGGTGAGACCCTGGCCCAGGTTGCCCAGGGAAGCTGTGGCTGCCCCATCCCTGGCAGTGTTGAAGGGCAGGTTGGATGGGGCTTGGAGCAGCCTGGGCTGGTGGGAGGTGTCCCTGCCCATGCAGGGGGTTGGAACTGAATGATCTTTAAGGTCCCTTCCAACCCAAACCAGTCTGAGATTCAATGAAATCAGACTAGACCTGAACTCTGTGCATGTGGAGGCTCCTTATATTTAGGCTGGTCTGTGTGTCTGGTGAACAAAAGCAGTTCTGGGCACCACACAAATACTGGTAGCAGCAAGCTCTGAGTATGAAAATGGCCAAAAGAAGGTGATTAACCCCGTGCCGCACGAAACCTGATATTGATGTGATTTCACCAACGTCTCAGTTCTCATTACTATTCTTACAGTTCTCTAATAATCTATTTCCTTTAACTTCCAGCATCCTCACTGGCAGTCCCAAATTCCACTTCTGCATCGACAATTCCCAGTGACAGCACTGCTGTGACAACTGCCACTGAACCCCTGACTTCTGCTGCCAAAGGCAAGGGGAAAAAAAAAACCAAACTGGAAACGTTCTGTGTGGAAATGTTGAGCAACATTTGCAATTTCTTTAGAGTAGAGAGGAAGGACACTGGGAATTCAGTAAAAATAATAACTCTGTGTGCAATTAGCCTTTTAAGAGCCAGTGGTCAAGACCACCTTCATTTTCACAGGAAAATGTGGTGGGAAGGGAAATGGGCTTGTGATTAAGTCTACCTGCATATCCAGTTCTCAAGACTGCACGTATGTATGGTGAGATCTTTACAAGTGGCTCATCTGATGCAGTCTTGCTTAAATCTTTTCTTCATCTTCAGTTCTTTTCATCATCTTGATTAATTTGTACTGGTTGTTAAGTTAGTGCAAAGGTAGAATGGAAATAAGGTGTGTTTATACCCTGCTGGGAGGTGCACCTGTTGCATCAGGCTCCCAAGTTCATTCAAAATCACTGATGAGAAGATGTTCTTCAGAGCCACGTTACCAAAGTTAAGCTCCAAGGAATTTACTTTCCTGTCCATGAAGCCTGAAATATTAATGATTTCACAGTTCCTTGAAATGTCTTTTCTTTTACATCCTGCTGTTTCTGTTTATTAAACAGAATTTCCTGACACTCTGGCCACCTCCACGAATTCCTCCTCTGCATCCAGCCCAACCCCAGCAGAGACTGACACAACAACTGCTCCAACAACCTGGACAACCCTCGAGGAAGGTGAGGAACCCTTGTGTGATGAAAGTCACTTCCAAAGCACAAGACAAATCTAATTATTTTCCCCAACAATGACCCCTTTGCATCCTTCCAAATTACTATTGCATCTCTAGTAGTAAAAGCCTGCAGTCAAAAATATCCATCTTCATTATTAAATATTAAATCAAGGTGAAAGTTTCTTTCTTTCAGCAATAAGAAAGGGCTGTGCATTGACTCACTGTCCTGCAAAACCCAAATCTACTTGCTTTCATCAAGATTTCAGTTCACGTGCTCATTCCTCTTTGCTGACAATCTCTCCTTTTTTGTTCTTCAACTTTCTCCCACTCTCAGACACCCCTTCTGCACCCGCTGTTGTCACAGAGGAAAACAACAAAATACCTGGCTACCAGGACACATCAGGAATATGTGCATTTAATGATTCATACCTCTGAGCTGGTAGCTATAAATTTAGCAATTTTGTGAAGCATAAGTGTCCAGATCATTGTGATTTTGATATTCATAAAAACTCCAGAACAATTAAGGAGCACAGCCAGGCATTTGTGCTCATCTCCCTTTGTTGATTCTCAGCCTCTCCAGTTATTTAATAGGCTGAAGACACAGTCTCTTTTTGAGCCTGAGACCTAGAATGAGTCATAAGGTCCTCAGATCCCACTTGTGCTTTTAATTTCAACTTGCCATCACTTAATTTCTCATCCTTGCAGTCACCTCAGGTAGCACAGACTCCTTCTTCCCTTCCACCACCATCACAGAGGAACAGAAATCCTGACTACTCTGCAGACAAGTAAAAGCTTTTGCACAAAGTGCAGCATGTTAGTGACAGGTGGCTAGAACTGTTGGGCAGGAAGGGACATCAGTGGAGATGCCAAGAAATGTTGCAAAATCACCACCTCTCAGCACAGCTAATGCTTGTCTATGAATTTAAGGTCTAAGTTAGCTAAAGGAAAGCCCATTCCATATGGAAAAATGTGTGCTATGAAGTTTTAATAGAGAGGGATAAGAACACTTTGTTAAGAAGCTTAAAAATCCAATTTTTAAATATTTATTTATCATGGTATTATGTGATAGTAGAAGCTTGGGTAGAGGTACAAGGGTCCATGTCTCTTCTCTGAAACAAACCTTCCTCCATTTTCATGTTTTCTAGCAAAATGAAAAATCCAGATTGTTTTAACCAAATATTTAATTCTAGTCGATACTCATGTTTGGTCCTTATTGTTCATTGTTCTTCTTGGTTTTCTCCTCCAAGCTTCAGGAAATTATTCTGTCACAGAAACTGATGTCTTGGACACATCTGCCCCAGGCACGAACAGTACAGAGCCCTCAGCAACTCCAGCATCGTTTACCCTGAGCCAAGGTAAGGAACAGCCAGACACAACCTGTGCCTTGTGCTGCTTGACACCAAAAAAGTCCCTGTCCCACATCACCACACATGGCACCATCTGGGGCTCAGAAAGAGGTGGTGGTTAGGAGATGAACCTGGGCACCCCTTCCACGCTTGAGGAGAAATCAACTTCTACAGAGCTTGGGTCCAGCCCTTCTTCAGTGCTGATGGTGCTGAGATGTGTGTGCATGTGTCCCACCTTCCCCCCATTTTTTTTGTTGGGTAACTCTTATTCTGGCACCTGTTTTGTGAGGCACTTTGTAGATTTTCAATGAACAAGCTGGTTTAACGAATCTATGAAATAATTTCTTAGAATCATAGAATCATCCTGGTTGGAAGGGACCTTGAAGACCATCAAGTCCAACCATAATCTAAATCCACCAACCATAACCCAATCTGTCCATTCAGTGCTTAAATCATGTCTCTAAGCACTATAACTTTATTTCTTTTAAACACTTCCAGGGATGGTGACTCCACCACCTCCCTGGTCAGCCTGTTTCAGTGTCCAACCACTCTCTTGGTAAAGAAATTCCTTCTAATATCCAGCCTAAACCTCCCCTGGGCAACTTCAGGCCATTTACTCTGGTAACTCCTGTCTTTTCAACCTTTTTTGAAGGCAGCTTGTCTTCTCCAGCCTCATCTGTGCTGTCAGAAGTGTCTCAGTGCTGGTGGGAGCAGCACTAGCAAGTGTCAAGCAGGTTTTCTTACTGCTCCACCCACAGACCTCATTTCAAACAACATTTTCATGTTCCAGATCTAGGATCCATCCATCCTAATGTCTAGATTGGCCTAGATCATTAATTAATAGTTGCCTCTTCTGTGTAAAATCAGATGCATCGAGTCAGCACTGCTGGTTATGAATTGAAGATTATGCATAAACCTGTATGAGTTTCTCTGTCATTCTGCTGTTCACCCAAATTGTCTTGGAAAGGAACAAACACAGCAGAGAAGATACTTCACTCTGTGTTTTCCTGCCTTTCTCCTGCCAGCCACTCCACTTTCAGAAGGAGAGAAATGAAAATTTCCCTGCCTTGAAGAGTATTTCCCTGAGCTTGGCTCAGGGGTTGCTGCTTGCCTCACCTGCTCAGACTGGGCTCTGCTCCAGCTGAGTGGGAGAAGTTTGCACCTCTGTGCACACCCACGAACCTGAGGAACCCACGTGGTGCCTCCAGGTTTACTTTTCTTTCCGTGGCTTTCAGAAGTTAAATGTGAGTTTCTATTATGCAGGCTGAGGGAACCTGATACATGGCGTGTATCTGATTTCCTAAAAATGCTCTCATTACTATGGAACTATGTGCTTGTAACTTGTAAGTGCTTTGCCTGTGTCTTCTCAACCAAGTATCTCAGCAACCAATTTCTTCTTGTTTCTCCATACTGTGTGTAGCAGGGATGCTGTTGAATGACTAAAGGGGGAAAAAAAGGTTCCTCTATAGCCCCCCCATTTTTTTTGTTGGGTAACTCTTATTCTGGCACCTGTTTTGTGAGGCACTTTGTAGATTTTCAATGAACAAGCTGGTTTAACGAATCTATGAAATAATTTCTTAGAATCATAGAATCATCCTGGTTGGAAGGGACCTTGAAGACCATCAAGTCCAACCATAATCTAAATCCACCAACCATAACCCAATCTGTCCATTCAGTGCTTAAATCATGTCTCTAAGCACTATAACTTTATTTCTTTTAAACACTTCCAGGGATGGTGACTCCACCACCTCCCTGGTCAGCCTGTTTCAGTGTCCAACCACTCTCTTGGTAAAGAAATTCCTTCTAATATCCAGCCTAAACCTCCCCTGGGCAACTTCAGGCCATTTACTCTGGTAACTCCTGTCTTTTCAACCTTTTTTGAAGGCAGCTTGTCTTCTCCAGCCTCATCTGTGCTGTCAGAAGTGTCTCAGTGCTGGTGGGAGCAGCACTAGCAAGTGTCAAGCAGGTTTTCTTACTGCTCCACCCACAGACCTCATTTCAAACAACATTTTCATGTTCCAGATCTAGGATCCATCCATCCTAATGTCTAGATTGGCCTAGATCATTAATTAATAGTTGCCTCTTCTGTGTAAAATCACATGCATCGAGTCAGCACTGCTGGTTATGAATTGAAGATTATGCATAAACCTGTATGAGTTTCTCTGTCATTCTGCTGTTCACCCAAATTGTCTTGGAAAGGAACAAACACAGCCTTTCTCCTGCCAGCCACTCCACTTTCAGAAGGAGAGAAATGAAAATTTCCCTGCCTTGAAGAGTATTTCCCTGAGCTTGGCTCAGGGGTTGCTGCTTGCCTCACCTGCTCAGACTGGGCTCTGCTCCAGCTGAGTGGGAGAAGTTTGCACCTCTGTGCACACCCACGAACCTGAGGAACCCACGTGGTGCCTCCAGGTTTACTTTTCTTTCCGTGGCTTTCAGAAGTTAAATGTGAGTTTCTATTATGCAGGCTGAGGGAACCTGATACATGGCGTGTATCTGATTTCCTAAAAATGCTCTCATTACTATGGAACTATGTGCTTGTAACTTGTAAGTGCTTTGCCTGTGTCTTCTCAACCAAGTATCTCAGCAACCAATTTCTTCTTGTTTCTCCATACTGTGTGTAGCAGGGATGCTGTTGAATGACTAAAGGGGGAAAAAAAGGTTCCTCTATAGCTGTAAATAATCATCTCATTCCTTTTATTTGTGCCATCTGTAGGTAAACTGCTCCTTGGCTTAAAAGTTCAGACAAACTAAATGTTCCCTAAATCTTTTGATTATATTCTGCACTTATCTAAGCACAAAGCATTGGCTTTGAAGAGATGCAAATATCCATTCTTTTATTAATTTGCTGAAAGTAAAATGTTGCTTTTCAGCTGCCTCTAGACACCCCCACAGGTATATATTAGAGATTCTTGGGATTTTTACTTAATCAGTCCTTTATATGCTGAAAAAGGCCCCCCAAAATTGCAGATTGATGTTTTATTTCAGAGTAATATTCCATTTACTTAGAAACTTTAACAGGAAAGTTGCCTCCCTCCTTATAAAGCCATTTTTAATATAAGCTGAGACACAAAATAACGCTTTTCTGCCTGTAATTTAAGTCAAGATCTGTATAAAGACTTTTTAATCTGCCTTTTTCTCACTGTTCCCACCTGGATTTAGACAGAAGATGTAGTCCAGTCCTTAAATGTCTTATTTAAATGCTTTCACCATCTCTGATGATGCCTGGATCTACAGGTTAATTATCTTTTGTCTCAATTATCTTTTTTTTTTTTTCTCCCTGAACTCCTATCTGGCAGTCCTGTAGAAGTTCAGACCTAGCTCTTGGGAAGAGAGCCAAGCACATACCTGCTGGCACTTCTTTCCAGCCAGCTTTTGCAGAAGCAAATGATAAGCATGATACTGGGATGGAAGGAGCTTTGATCATGGTCAGCAAAAAGGAATTAAGGAGAGAGTCCTAGGAAACATGGCCCTTACTGGGAATGGATGTGCATTAGTTGGTTACAAATAGCTGCCAGGTGACACAGCAAATGTCCCAAAATGAAAACCTCGTAATCACTGGCCCACCAAGGGGTAAGACAGGTGTGTATACTTGGTGCAGTTTATGATGGCCACAAACTAGGAGGAACTCAATCACGTCGGCGGCGGTGTCTCTCATTTCTTCCTCTGAAAGGAAAATACACTCCAGGCCCATAAAACTCATTTGGAACTTCAGATCTCTAAAAGCCTTTCTCTCTGAAAGTGAGATAAATGTGTGGAGTATTCTCTAAGTACCCAGCTCTCCAAAATGAGCCTGGTCTGTGGAAACAGCTCTGCTGCTGTTCTGGGGGAACGATGCTGTGCCAACCATCTGTTATGCCAGAGGGTTAGCAAGGATGGGGAAAGAAGCTGAAGCAGGAAGGAGGTAAAGGAAGGAAAAAAACCTCAAAACTCCATCTCCCTCAGATTGCCAGGTAGCACAGGAAAAGTTTGGCGCTGGTTATTTGTTGGTCCTTTAGGCAGCACCAGGGAACGATGGTAAAGAAGAAGTGGAGAACCTTCCCTCTGTTGCACAAGGTAGGAGGGCTGCATAGTGGTGGATCATTTTCCCCAGAGAACAAGACACTGTGGGAGAGGACTGTGTCCATGCCCGTTGTGTATTGCATGAAAAAAAAGATGGATTTGAGCACTTATAATGCCCCACAACAGCACTGACAGTCAGGGGAGGATCCTCTGTCAGAGCAGACCACGCTGAGGGCTACCTGCTCCTGCCTTCAGCCAAGTGGTGCCTGCCTGAGAAACCACCTCAGGCAAACCCCGCTGCCATGTGGTGTGGTCTCTTCCTTTCTCCCTGGCAGATCCCTCAGCTCTGACTGTGAGGCTGGCAGAAGGTGACAGCAGGTGCTCGGGCCGTGTTGAGCTCTTCTACAACGGGAGCTGGGGAACCGTCTGTGACGACGGCTGGGGGCTGGCGGGGGCCCGGGTGGTGTGCAGGCAGCTGGGCTGTGGAGAAGCTCTGGTGGCTGTGTCTGGAGCTTACTTTGGCCCTGGCTCTGGGAACATCCTCCTGGATGACATGGAGTGCAGAGGGGATGAAGACAGCCTGTGGGAGTGCTCCCACAAGGGCATCGCTGTCCACAACTGCCAACACACGGAGGACGCCAGTGCCATTTGTGCAGGTATGTCCACCACAGACTGTTGCTGCAGGAGCAACACAGCCTTGCCTGCAGCCACGTTTTGGATGCACAACTTGTTTCCATCAGTGGAATTGTCTTGGGCATGAAACCAAGCCCTGTGAGAACTGCTGTGTCTTTACCACAGTTATTTTTGTAAAGCCGTAGTGTTTGTTCACACAGGTTTGTGTTTACTTTTTTATTTTAATTCTTAAACCCTTTGGCTATCTGGAATATCATTGTCAAACTCATGCCATTTCCTACTCTATTACTGGGCTGTTTTATGCATTAATATTTGAATAATGATTTAACATCATCACTGTTTATATTTCAGTCCTCCCAGTCCTAATCTCCCATGAACTAGAAAGGATGACTAGTAAACCAAGTTTCTTTCTCTTGTATTTAGTAGGAAAACAGTTTAAGTAGCTTCCTTTAGGATTTTTCCAAACCAATTCCCAGCTTTCCAGCAATTCTGTACTCTGCCTGGAGACACGTGTGCAGCTGGAGTGTCACTGCAGCCTCTGTGCAGCAAGTGGTGGTCCAGGGGCACGGGGTGGGCACCTTATGAGCCTGAAGTGACCGAGGTGAAAAGCAACTGGCTGAACAAGCTTTTAGATGAGACCTGGTCCAAAAAGTGCTGGTTTACAGCTTATCCTGGGAATAGCTTTCCCTGGGAAAAAGTCCAAGCAAATTTTTATCAGAGTCAGGGTTTTTAGTAAGGACCTCAAGTGGAGTTAATGGCACAAGCAGACTTGTGTGTCACCTGCAAGGTGACTGCAGCCATTAGCACCTGACATGTGAAAAAGGGCTTTGCATCTTTTTCCCTCTTGATGATACTTCCAGAGATGAACAGGTTGCTCTCTACCACTACTGTTTCCTTTTTTTTTTTTTCCTCATACTAACTGAAAAATATTTTATTAAGCATCTTCTGTATTAGAACTAGAAATTCATTTTTCTGTTTCCATCCCTAGAGCCAACTACACCCTCTGTCACAGCAGAGCCTGTTCCAGAAGGTGAGTTCTCCCTAGATGGGTCTTGCAAAGATTTCACAGCTGATATGTTTCATATAGTACTTTGAGGGCTGGGAGGAAGCTAAAAATCTTAGAGGTAAACACTTCAAAGCAAGTAAATGTGTATAAGGTGAGTTTCTGAGATACTTCAGGCTTATCTGAGATTTTTGCTCTCCAAGAATACTGGTATCAACAGGAGTGGTTATGTAGTAAAACTAGAAATTCACTTTTCTGTTTCCTTTCCTAGAGTCAGTTACTGGCCCTCTCACAAGCGAGCCTGTTCCAGAAGGTGAGTTCTCCTTAGATGGGTCTTTCAAAGCTTTCACAGCTGGCATATTTCATACAGCACCTTAAGCACTCATAGGAAGTTAAAAATTTTATAGGTAAACACTTCAAAGGAAGTAAATGTGTGTAAGGGGAGTTTCTGAGATACTTGAGGCTTATCTGAGGGTTTTGCTGTTAAAGAATACTGGTATCAACAGGAATGGTTATGGTAGCTGTGGATACATATATCACAGCCTGAAAGAGAAAAAAACCTTCACCTTTACTCCCAGGTGCACGTGGCACACTAAGAGAGCAAGGATTGATGATGGATGGGCAACTGACCCAACCTGCCTTGTTACAATGAAGTTAATTTCATGGTTTTGCCACTTCCTGTGCCAAACAATGAAACTGGCTTTTAGCTATTTGATAAATGCACCTGGAGAGCCCGTTTCTGAGGCTGCTGGGTGCCTGTGACTTCTTCCCCTCTGCTTTTCCAAGACATGTCCTTGAGGCTGGTGAACGGAGAAGCCACCTGCTCGGGACGCCTCGAGGTGTTCCACAACGGGAGCTGGGCAACTGTCTGCGACGACGGCTGGGACCTGAGGGCTGCCACGGTGGTGTGCAGGCAGCTGGGCTGTGGAGAAGCTGTCTCAGCCAAAACCGATGCCTACTTTGGGGAAGGCACAGGAGATATTCTCCTGGATGACGTGAGCTGCAGCGGGGACGAGTCGTCGCTGGACCAGTGCTCCCACCGGGAGCTGGGCACGCACAACTGCTACCACAAGGAAGATGCTGGTGTCATCTGTGCAGGTACCCACCTTCTCCATACTGTTCTTTCATGGGAATTAAGGTTCCTAAGCTGTGCGTGCAAGCCAGAATGGACTAGACAAGAGTAGCACTGTTTTGGTTGGAAAAGAGCTGTAAGATGATCAGGTGTGCTGCCATTTTGTATGAGGAAGGTATAATTGGTAACAATAGCTATGAGACTTACATGCTCCTGAAGAAGTGGGTAAGGCTTCTACTGTCCTTCTGAGAAGGCCCACGTTTTCATTTTTATTTTGTAAAATTTATTCTCCATCCCCCTGTTTCTGGTACCGTGCACTGTTCTTAGTTGATGGTTCCTGACAAATAATTATAATGAATATTTGAGAATTAACTGCAATGAATCTTCGATGTGCTGTACATGTACAAGCCCCAGAAGAAGCATTCAAGGAGAAACCAAGTTCAGCCTATCAGCCTAATTCACTCAGTCCTGTTGTGCTGCTGGTGGTCTCACCTTGTAACTGAAAGTGTTGATCTGGCTTTCCTTCTCTTGATGGTTTTTATTTTGTCCCCTGACAGCCCCTCTGGAACTTCCCAAAGCTGCAACAACAGGTAGGGAGTACTTCAGCCTTCCTTTATTTATCTCAGTTTTAGTCCAATACAATTCACCTCACAGCAGAGCACTGATTCTCCTGGACTTGAGCAGGGCTGAGCTGAAATTTGTGTTCCCTCAGAGGTGAGAAAGCCCTGACCTAAAGAATTCAAGGTGCTCAGGAGAACATGAGCTTCTGGTGGGATCTGTGGACACAGGTGTCCTGCCATCCTGAGCTCTTTTGCCTCTGTGAAGACACACACAACCATACACGTGGTTTCCACACACCCTGAAGGGCAGTGGAAATACCAGAAGCTGGTATACCAGATGCCAATGATGGGGCAAAGTGCTGTGAGGTGGTTGGTTTGGGGATCTCGTTACACCAGCCCCAGTCACACCTAAAGGACAATGTTGCTTTTTCAGTCCATGCTTTTCTCCCTCAGTATTGGAAAAACTACTAAAACGTGGGGTTTATTTTTCTCTTTGACAGTCCTAACCGAGTCCACAGCAGCTTCAACACCAGGTATTTATTTCTGGTTGCTTACCAACCCGTGGTGAGGTGCTGTCAGACCATGAAGGGCAGCAGGACCTCCAGCTCACACAGCACTCCCAGACCGAGTCAAGGAATTAACTTCCAGGCACTGACACTTCAGTCTCAGCTGAAGATCTAGAGAGCTTCCTGCCCTCCTGGGAAAGCAGGGCTGGCTGCCAGAGCCCTGCCCAACTGCATTGTCTGTTTCCCTGCCCAAGCTTGGGGTCCCAGTGTAAGGTTCTCCAGAGGTGATGCCTGTGTCACCAGTCTGTTCAGAGCCTGCTCAGGCAGTGCTCAGCTTCCCAGGTGAGACCCTGGCCCAGGTTGCCCAGGGAAGCTGTGGCTGCCCCATCCCTGGCAGTGTTCAAGGACAGGCTGGATGGGCCTTGGAGCAACCTGGTCTAGTGGGAGGTGTCCCTGCCCATGCAGGGGAGTTGGAACTGGAGGATCTTTAAGGTCCCTTCCATCCTGAACCACCCTGGGATTTGATGATACCCACAGGCCTTCCTGTGATACTACAAGTGGCCAAGGCTGCTGCTATGGGTCTTGAGGCAAAAAAATTATCTCCATTTACAACGTAGACAATGTTTAATTTCATCTTTTCTTTCTCACAGAGACAGACTCTCCTGCTCCTGAACCAGACACTACCACTGGTAAGTACTACAGCATTACTGTGGCTTACATGCTTAGTTATCTGCTCAAGCTCTGACCATGTATGGACTGACTCCCTGTCTCCACTGTGTATATAATCTCAAGGATTTGACCATTAATTTCAGGGATAATCCGTATCACCTCTCCCTTGGCTTCCATGCACAATAAAAGAGGGAGAAGGGCTTGGTATCCATATGAGAGAAATACCTGCCCTGATAAAAGCACTAGGGAAGGGGAAACCACTGGGGCGGACACACTACACCTGTATAAATTCAGGTCTTTGCTTTGCTCACACCCTGATGCAACAGTCACTGAAGCACAGCTTTTACTTTCTCTTTGATAGTTCCAGCTGAGACCACGATGGCTGAAAACCAAGGTATTTATTTCTGGTCACTTCTTGAACTGTGGTGAGCAGTTCACTATTCTTCATGTGAGTCATACATGTGTAGAAAACATGGGCAATGTTGAATTTCTTATTTTCTCTTCTCACAGAAACAAACTCAACTGCCCCATCAGTCCCTACCACTCCTGAGGCACCAGCCAGCACCACTTGTAAGTAATGCAGTTATTCTGGTTTACACCCTTAGTTCTCTATCAAGGTAGTGATGTGGTGGTGGCATGACTCCCTCACTCCACTCTGAGCATGATCTCATGGATCTCCTATTTAACTTTGGTGATAACTCCTTTGGTTTCCATCCAGCTCAAGGGATGTAAAACGTTGTTGGTATTGATATGGGAAAAATACCTGCACTGATTGAAGCACTAGGGAAGGTGAAGCTGCTGGGGCAGACACACTGCACCAGCATAAATTCAGATCTACTCTCAATCATCTCACTCCTAGAAAGTCAGGATCCCTGCACTTTCCAAGTTGCAGCCCCACTGGAAGCTGGGTCAGTGGGAATCCCTCAGACACATTCAGTGGTATTTCATTCGAACCTTAGTTTTCTACAGTGGCTTTTATCTTTCAAAAAATCTGGATGGCAAGTTCTGCTCATTAATTGAAAAGATTCTGCCCCAGATGCTGGGAGAGCAGACTCAGGCTTTCTGTGACAGCCTGGCCCTCCCAGCTGCACGCAGAGGGCACTCTGCTGCCTCAGTAAGACTTACATCCTTGAGCTGACAACATGCAGGAGTCTGAACCTCAGCTGCAAAGCACGTTTTTGAGCATGGGACTGTCTGCCTGCAGAAAGGAATGCACAGCATTACTGCTTGCTCCATTAATGCTAATAATTCATCATCTCCAGTATTCAAGCCCCTACCCTTTTATCGAGTCCTTTGTCCATGGCAACTCTGTTCCTCAGAACTGCAGCTACTAACATTTCCTACTCTTAATTAATTCAGCTGGTCACAATGTATGTTAATTGATTACATAAGAGCACAGGTTTTCCTCAGCCTCACTTATTTTCTCTCTCTATTTTTTTCTTCATTTAAAGCATATGCAAACCCTGATCCAGTACCTACAAGACCAGGTATTGACATTCTTTCTTCTTTTTTAATGACTCCTCTTCCTAAAGGCACTCCATGCTGGGTAAGAGCTGTGAGCTGGGAAAGTCTGGCATTCAGTGGCAGAGGGAATCTGAGTAAAGAGGAAAAGGGGAAGCAGGAGAGGCTGGGACCAGGCAGAGAGCTCTGAGCTGCCACCCAGGGACTCTGCTGCACCAGGGGCTGGCAGCCAAGCCATCCTTGGTGGTAAGGGTCCAGGGGATGAGCTGGTCTGTGGCTGCACCATTTGTGGAAAAAGACTTCTAAAGCATTTGCCCACAGCCTGCCAGGCTGCTGCCCAGCCCGTGCTTGTGTGCCCTGAAGGGCTCAGAGGTGAAGAAAGAGCTCCCCACAAGAGAACAGGTGGACAGAGGTAACTTGTGTAGCCACAGGGAGCATCTTTTACTGGGACACCACCAAAGGGAGGGAAATTAGTTTCTTCTCCACTCAGCTCCTATTTCCAGGTGTGGCAGCCAAGCCCACATTTGCATTTGCAAAGCACACTAGTGTTTAATACATGCTGCATTTTACTCTGTGCTTACACATGGTTTATTTAAGATGAAATTTCTTCTTTTCCAGCAAACCTTCCTTACCTGCCTAACTACATGAGGCTGATGGTGCTCAGATACTTAACTGGCCTGTGCGGACCTAGGAGGCCTGGGATGTCCAGTATAAGATTACAAGGGTAAGTATTCCTGTCTGTGAGGTGTCCCAGCCAAGCTGGGGCACCCTGGATGTGGTTTTACACTGGGTTCTTACACCCTCCAGATGTTCAGGTACAATACAATTTGACTCATGACTCACAGCCACACAACTGATTCATAATCACTGTAAAACTGGGCAAAACAACTCAATTTCTGCAGCATTCTTGCTGCCTGTCTGTGGATCCAGATGCCCCTGGAGTCAGTCTTGCTGGTACTACTGGCCTGTGACACCAGACAATGCTGGGAGGTTTTCAAAGATGTGTCAGAATGGCTGGGACACTGGCATTACCTTGGCTGTCCAGAGGAAGCTTTCATGGACAGCTCTAAGCTTCTAAGAAGCAAAGTCCTTCTTTCCAGAGCCAGGCTGTTCTTTGTTTGAATTAATCCCTCCAGGAAGATTCCACAGCCTCATTACATTAGAGTTTATAATGCAGACTAATACATATGAACAAAGTTAATACACACTCATCCTCCAAAGACTGATTGATATAAGAGTTAGGGAGAGGAATTTTCCTAACAGTGACCACCAGAAGACCCTACACCAATGCCAGAGGCTACTGTGCAGGGAACAGACACCTGAGCAGCACCCAAAGCAGAAGAAAGGAAAACATCTCAACAACAACTTCAAACTAATTCCTCACATGTCATTGACTTCATATGAACAACAACAAATCCATACACCAAAGATTCAGAGTCCTGAAACACACTGGAGTTACTGACTTGCAAGAAGCAGCAGGATTTTAAACGAGCTGGCTGTTAGGGCAACCACACCAAGTTTTGTTAGTTTGTTTTTATCTTTAATTCACCACAATATTCTGCTAGGGAAGAGCTGGTATACATCCCCAGATTATATAAAAAAATTGAGAGAAGGATGAAGCATCTGATCAAAGGGGTTTTGGCTGAGCTGGGATATGGAATTGTTTCTTCACAGCTCTAAGTCTGAAATAAAAAAATAACTTTGCAAGACAGCAGACCTACACAGTAAGATATTTAACACATACTTCACATATCTAACATTCCATCAGGTGTTTCACATTCCTACATTTATATACATGTGTGATATTTATATATGCTGTGTTACATACTACACCAAGAGAAATACTGACATTCCACGAAGCTGTACCTGTGTTCTGTGCTGTGAACTCTGACTGACACCACAGCTGGAAAGGTCTGTAATTTGGGGGGCTTTCAGCAACCAGGTCTAATGGTAGGTGTCCCTACCCATGAACTAGATGATCCTTAAGGTCCCTTCCAACCCAAGCCAGCCTGTGGGATTCTGATTATGAAGGAAAAATCTCTTGTAAGCAATGAAACCAAAGAGCTTTGTGGCCGTGTCACAACTTTTGGATGACAATTCTACCTGGGGCTTTTCCTTTTTCTCTCCTCAGATGCGTAAGGGACCCAACCTGTGGGAACTACTACTCACCAGCTGCCAGGATTATCCAGTACCATTTCAGTAACCACATCTACCCAAGATCCTGCCTAAGGTGCCAAGTGCTGGCGTGCAGCAGATACAGTTACCCTGCTCAGCGCTACAGGGGCTACCTGGTCAGAGGCAAAAGAAGCGCCAAAAAAGGCGACCCTGTCGTCATCATCATCATCAGCAGCAAGTAACAGCCCCAGTTGTGTTTCTTCTAACCACAACATCCTGTTGGTCACTTCTGTATGGCACGTGTCACACAATTGCTACTGATTTCTTAAAAAAAAACACAACACATTGTACTGGAGGGTGTATATCTAAAGGTAATTTGATCTTAATTGTACTGTGTTCTTTAATTTGAGATCCTTTGGATCTACATGCCAGATTTGTTAAACCTTAAACCTCAGTAAATACTCTCAGTGACAAAGTAATTGTATCAGCTGGCTGATTTTTCTCATCCAGACTTTGTTTCCCTCTCACACTTCTTCCCTATCATACCAAATATCTCAAAGACTGAGCATTTAAGGATGACCAACCTGCCTTACAGATGCACACATCACATCTTTGCTTCCTGAGCTCACAAACGGACATAAATCAAAGGATAAACATCCCTTGTAACCAGTAAGATCTGAGCAATTACTTTAAATAGGAACTCAGAAGTATTTGGAAAAAATTATTGCACACTACTGAGATACAATCTCTGCAATACCCTCCATGTGTGAGGTTTTATTACTGGAGATTAGAACTGTTAGAAATTGTGCATCTAAATTTACTTCATTATAAGTATTTGCTTCATCCTTTTTCTCTCAACACCTGTTCCAGTGATAACACTTGGAGCCAAGAAAGTGTTTCTGCTTTTTAATGTTGTATTTTCCTACTTGGAATAACTTAGTGGAAAAAAAATAAAAAGGAAATCAATTATTTTTCTGTTCATAATAGAGAAAAATATCTTGTTGATTGCAGAAATGTACTAGAGCAGTCATCTCATGAAAAGAGATGGAATAAATATTAATTACCTGGTGATCTTGGCCTGACTGTGAAAAGCATCTTCAAGGCCAATACTCAGTTTCCATGTGGCCACAATGTGCAGGTTGCTCCAGCCCACAAGGAGATGCCCTGTGCTGGATAAGGATGCCTAGTGTCTGGGCTGGGCTACACATGACCAAACACCAGCCACTTTTCCCAGCAGCTTTTCCTTCCCCCTTCAAAAAAGGGACTAGAGTAATTCTGAAACTCAGCTATTCTCCAGGAATAACTTGGCCAGCTCTCAAATGCCCAAATCAGATCTCCCAGGAAGCCACCACATCTAATCTCCTATCTGGGGCTGAGCTGGCTGAGCAGGCTCACTGCCCAAGTCCTCACCCTGCAGGACCATCATAAGCCACACTATTTCCTAATCATACTTAGTTCATACAAAACTCCATCACACTCATAACCCTGCTGCTCTGCTCCTCACTGGTAATTATTTCCAAGTGCTTGAAATCACCTTTTCCCTGCTTGTCACACTCCCAGCTGCAGGCAGAGAAAGTGCCTGAACACAACAGTGTCACAACAGCTGAATCCTTACTCCTTTGTACTAAAATACACTCATTTGCTCTGAGGATCTGCTATTGTCAAACACCCTCTGTACTCTTCTCATCTCAAAGGACTTTTGTGAAGACACCCTGGCTACCTTCTTTAAAGGCAGGAGAAGAAATTCAAAGCAGGCCATTAGTATTTCAGCACCACCTGATACCTGAACACATCACACTGTCCGACCACGGGCTTAGGGCACAAGATTTGAAAACCAGTTTGGAGTTTCAGCTTTGCAGCACCAGCCCATGGAGCAGCAGGAGATGCTCCTTGTCTGTGCAGATGAAGCTGCCAAACCACAAGTGTGAGGAGGGGCTGAGCCCTTCAGAAACACCAGGCTTAAGGGTCCAGTCCCTTCATATCACCTCCAGCACAACAAAATCTCATCATCATTTATATACAAGCAATTACAAACAGTTTGACCACCAACCTGTAACTACCAGAGTACATTACCACAACCACAGGCATTTTTTTCCTCATTCCTGATGGACACAGAGTTGATTGGCAGGGCTGAACACAAATTCACAGATTAAGGATCTACAAAACTAATGGCAGCATTTGAAAATTCCTTGTAAGTATGAATGTGGGTTCAAGAAATGAAAGGCTCTACAGAGTAAATGCAAATTCAACATTTCCAGAAGCTAAAGGAAATTCAACCATCTTCAGACAGCTATTCAGAGCCTCCACGACATTAAAAGCAGTATAAGTACATTGTCATGATGAAAACAGAGCTGCACTAAAGGCCTTAAAGTGAGTGAAGAATCATAGAGACAACTGTTTTAAAGAAGGTCTGAGATTAGATATATAGGATCACTACAGAAGCATCAAATTTCACTTTGGATGTAATAGGAAAATAGATATATATATATATTTTGTATAATAAAAATATTGCTTTTATGAAAGAAAAGTACCTGAAATTGTTTCAAGAAGGTTGCAATTTGACTTTCTAGTAAACTTGAAAGCAGGGGTGTTTGCACAGCTGTGGGATGCCTGCTCTCTGTAGTGGAAAGAATGAGCCAGGCAAGCTCCTGGGAGAAGCCAGGCAGGTCCAGGCACAGCCCCAGCCAAGGCCAGGGAACTGCACAGCTGTGGCACTGCCACTGCCTCCCAGGCCTTTAAAGATTGGGCACCTGCTGCTGCAGGAGGAACCAGTCTGGATTTCAAGAGCTTTGGTCCTTATGGAAAGACAGACAAAGTAGCACAAATATATTGGAACAGCGACTGGTACTAGAAGGAGCTGAGGCTCTTGGGGCTGTGCTTGTTTCCTTACCTAGGGGAGGAAAGGCTGATTCCTCTTTTTTTGTAGCTTCTCCTGTTGGAGTAAGGAAGTTTTATTTGCAAAGTGGTTGCAGGGCAACCTTCTAAATCTGTGATTAACACAAATCTGGTCTTGTTCAAACACTTCAGCAACAGGAATCTATTCCTCACGACAACTCTGACAGGCACGTTAGCAAGGACAAGGAATTATTTGCCCAGTCCAACAAAAAGGGAGAGGTATGAAAGTGAAGGTGGCAAAAACCAAGCTCCTGCTGCCCAGTGCTAAGAGCAAACTGCTAAGTGTGTCTCCCAAGAGAGTCTGGAAGCTTCCAGAATATTCCTGCTCCTGCCAACACACCACAAAAGTTACTCAAAGAAATCAGCTGAAAAACTGTGCTTTAAACCCACAAGAGCTGACAAAAGCACAAACTAACCCCACGTAGTACACACTAAAAAAAAATAGGGCACACCTGTTAACATTCTCATTTATATCTGTTAAAAAGAAACAGTAACCAAGAGATTAAGCCCTCCCTCCCTGATGCCATGAAATACAAGATGATGATGAAATAACAGGAGGTATAAAAGTTAGCAAAGCCTGACCTCCCCAGATGCCACCAACATGCTGTTGCTCACAGAGCTCCTCCTCCTGCCTCTCCTAGCTGGCCTAGCTCTGGCTGAAAACAACTCAATAGAATCCACAGGTATGGAAATCTAGCCTATTTTTCATCTGTGAAATGTTATTAGTTTTTGCACACTAGGTATTTTGCAGGCAACTGAAGGGAGAAGTGTTAAAAATAACCTCTGAAAGTGCATCTTATTTTGATGCACTGCTGCACAACAGTAACAGCTAGGTGTGCCAGCAAGTGTTTAAAATGGTAAATTAAAACAATAATAATAATAATAAATTCCAATATATTACTCCCCATTACAATTTTTTTAACTTAAGAACTTGATTTTGAAGATATTCTACTCCAGAATGGAAATTTGTGTTTATAAATTAATACTGTACTGAAGTAACAGTAAAGTGGCTTAACTGGGAAACAGTTATTTTTTAAAAGATTTTGCTCATTTTCCCTCTGTTCAATCAGAAGCAATGTAGTCATCTGTTGCTTGATTTGGGATTAACATTCTGTGCTCCAATCTGCAATATACCTGATTAATGGTGGGTAAGTGCTGTAGGATAAGGAACTGTTAATGCAGGGCTGCTCCAGTGGTGCCTGCCTACAGAACAACCCAGAGGGATGAAGAGGGAGAGCAGGGCAAAGCTGCCCTTGTAATGCTCTTAAAATTGGGAGGTTTCATACATGATGAGAGAGGTCTCTCCTAAACCTTCCTTTTCCCTCTGGAGTTCATCAGAAAGCCTGAATTTTTTATCTGGGACTGCTTGCACTGTACAGGAAATTCTTCCAGCTGTTTTTTTAGATGATTAGTGTTAGATAAGTATTAGAGTAGAAAGAAGACCTTCTGCCCAAACTGGATTATAAACTTCTAAAATTCCCCATACAATGGCCATTTCTGCAACTACTTCATAACTTATTAGCATTCATTAAGTGATGTCACCCATGGTTAGTTTGTTAGGGTTTTTTGCAAGAGAACTGGGTTCAAGTCCAGTTCACCCCACATCCTGAGCCCAGTACTAGTCAACAGAGGACGTTCAGGTAAGAATATGGATACAATGCTGCATGATACTTCTGCAGAATGCTCTCCCAGTCAGCACCAAATGTGGTTCAAGACTTCCTGAGCCAGAGAGGAGGAGCTGTCTTTGTGTTCCCTGCCTACCAAGAGCTTTCTCTTTCATGGATTTGACCCGTTTCACTGTTTTCTTTCCAATCCACATCACCTTGAAGCAAACATCCACATGCAAAGAGCCAGTTCTTGTGTTTCAAAACCACAACTTACTGGTTTCATTCCAGAACTGTGAGCTACTGTATTGCAAGAAAGTATCTCACACGAACCCTCTTCCAAAATGTACAGCCCTCTAGCACCTCCTCAGGTGCAGAATTGTTTGCAGCAGTAAATGTACAGTCATTCTATGCAATGTCCTTTAGAGGGTCAAATCTGAAGAGCATTTTTCATTCCCTGGGCATAGGTTCCCAAATGCTTTTAAGCAAAGGGCTGAGTATTAGAACAGGACTCAGTGATGTTTAGGAAGACAGGAGCCCTGAAGTTCATGTGATGACATCCTTGCAGAAGAGAGTTGCTGAGGTGTCTCGTGTCACCTGGTGTTTTCAGGTTTGCCACTGGCTTCATCTGTGATGTGTTCCCTTAGCTCTGGTGCTAGACAAACAAAGACAAAGTATTTTCTGATATTATTATACTATTTGATTCTTCAGGCTTCATAAACTGGAGTGACAGGAATAAAAAAACCCCACAAACAAACAAACCAAACTAGGATAAAATTTTGCATGTTTGTTCCATGATGAGCTTTCCCAGTTTCTTTGCAGAGTGGAGAATAAAACATTATTGCAGCTTCAGAGATCCTTGGAAGTTGTTTTGTCTTGCTGCTCTTCTCCAGTAGGTGCTCCTCGCTGTGGGGCTTCCCTGCACGACCTCAACAAAGCATTCAGGATTGACCTAAATGCAAATGCAAACTGTGTCTGGCAGATTCAGAGGAACGTAAATCAAACAATTAGGCTGGTTTTCTCCTACTTTCAGTAAGTATTTCCTCCAGAAGCCTTTGTGCTGTTCCATTGGATCACAATATTGCCTCTAAATATTCCTCTGTACTGAGCCTGTGCTGGGGACCCCACGCGGTGAGTTCTCCTTGTAGTTTGTCTTTTTCAATAGGTTTGCTCCTTCTTCAAGCTGTGAAACTGAAAGTATTAAAATATATGATGGTCCCTCAACTAATTCATCTCTTCTTGGACAAGTATGTAACGACACTGATGCAGTCCCAGTACTTCATTCATCTTCAGACAGTTTAACTTTTCTCATAACAACAAACTCTGCAGCTTTTGCACGAAACTTCTTTGTCTACTATTACTTCTTTCCAGCAGAAGCAAGTAAGTCATTAAAAACCATTTGGATTGCATCATTAAAAGAAACTTTCCCATTAAGGAAAAGTTTAGGATTGCAACTAGAGCCTATGATCAGATTCTTTAATTAGTCTCCCTCAGTTCTTCAGGCCTTAGACAATGGTGTGGGGGGAAATCAGTGAAAGAGGCAGCAAAACAAGAGCAGTTTTAACTTAGCTGCTGAAAAATTGTGGCCCATTTCTAGCCTACATTTGTATTTCTGAGGTTTCCATTGAGCTGATTTTATTTTGCCTTTGTCTATCAAGTAGAATATCTGTCAAACTTGAAGATTTTGCACTTCCCGTACAGATCAGGAACAAGGCATCATGGATTTCTCTAATAAAAAGTCTCTCAGGGTTTCTTTTGGTTGGTGCAACATCTTAATTACCATTTTTTTCAAGACGGCACCTGCCTTACCCAAAACAGAGATGTAAATATATTGTTCACAGTATCAAAGCTAACTCACCTACAGCCATCTCAGATGTCATTACACTGTGCCTCACAGATAGACCATACTAGCAACAGGCTTAATTTTGTAAAACACACCTGACCTGAAATTCTCTATAGAAGTTCACTCTTTAGTACCTCAAATCATTTCCAAAGGGAATCCTAAAGAAACAATCCTGCTAGTGACATAACTTGAGACCTTTGATTGATTTTTATGGCTCATTATATATATTATTATATTTTCAATAAATCTAACTCTTCTTTTCAGAAAATGAAAATTGTGGGGGACAATTAACTGGACCCAATGGGACAATTACCAGCCCCAACTACCCAGCACCTTACCCTGAGTTTACATACTGTGTCTGGCACATAGAAACAGCAAAAAACTCTAAGATAAAACTACAGTTCCAGGACTTTTTGTGAGTAAATGCCTTAATGCTCTGTTGCTTTTCTTTCACTCATCTTAAAAGCATCATTTTAAACACAGGAAGCAGAAGTGCTTTCAGACTTGTACAACATCTATAGACTTGTAAAACAAATGTGCTTTGTTGACTCTTATGATGAATTAATTGCCTTGTGTTCCACATCTGTATAGATTACCCTGTAGTTACTGCAGTGCCAACTGGTGCCATGCAGAAAGCATTTCAGGTCACTAGCAAGGAGGTGTAGGTGCATTTTAAGCCAGCCTGACTCATCTGAATTTAAATCCATCTGTATAAACAAAGCTTTTGCTACATAAGGGACATGTTTAAAATCACCACGAGCACTGCAATTGCAGTTTAGAACTGAGGCTCAAGAAAGAACAAAGCAAATACTTCCCAAAGTCTTCCTCAGTCTTGCTGGCTGTTGGGCAAAGAAGACAGCAAAGCACTGGCCTAAATACTGCCAAGTATAAATGCTAATGGATGCATTAGCATAAGGAAACTACACTGGCATGGGCTTTCCTGACCCATATTGCTCTTCATCAGGGTTGCTCTCCTAGTTGTAGTGGGCTGGTGGCCCTTTTTTTGCTTTCCCTGCATCAGTTGATGCTGTGCAGAGAGGAAAGCCTCAAGATCAAGGGCATTCAAAGGGCAGTATTTTCAAGAACATTTCTTGAGATATTCAGACTGCACGAGGCTGTGTAAACAATCATAGAATCCCAGACTGGTTTGGATTGGAAGAGACCTTGAAGATCATCTAGTTCAACCCCCTGCATGGGCAGGGACACCTCCCACCAGACCAGGTTGCTCCAGGCCCCATCCAACCTGGCCTTGAACGATTCCAGGGAGCCACAACCTCCCTGGGCAACCTGTTCCAGCATCTCACCACTCTCACAGGAAAGAATATTTTCCTCGTGTCCAACCTGAATCTCCCCTCTTTAAGCTTCAAACCATTGCCCCTTGTCCTCTCACTACACACCTGTGTAAAAAGCCCTGCCCCAGCTTTCTTGTAGGCCCCCTTCAGATACTGAAAAGTTTATACATACAAACATAGATGCACACATATATATATAAACTAAATATGTATAAAATGCAGTATGAAAGGTATAGAAATCTATAGGAAGTCCTTACCTTGATAGCTGCTCTCTGAGATGATGAACTCTGCACAGTGTGGTTCTCACCAGTCCTGCCCAGGGTCCAACTGCTGATTCAGGAACAGGGATGTTCTTTTGGAGGGATCCACCCACCACACAACAGCTGGTGCTTTTGGTCAAGGGTGGCAAGTGCTGAGAGAAGCTCGCATGCAGACAGAGAAAAAGGCCTTTTGCTCTGGTGACAGAGACAAGAGGTTTCAGAGACCTGCATAAATCCACTCTACACTTTAAAAGCTTTTAAGATACTATTTATATGTGTATTCGAATGTATGGTTATTTTTAGTAAATAAGTAGCCATCAATATATATATATACAGTATCAGAGTTAAGAAAAACACTGATGCAGCTTCTTGAAATAGCAAAATGGTACCTCAGTGGGAGCAGAATCATATTCCTAAGTCTTTCTTACCTTTAGAAGTTTCCCACGTGCCACTTGGTCTTAATAATGTCTATTATATGTTATATTTCATCTGACTGGAATTCATCAGACACTGTCTATCCAGTATAAGCAGTGTTCTCTCCACTCAGATTTCCCTGCAATTGTTTTTCTCTCCCTCTCCAGCCTGGAACTTGACAAAACCTGCCGCTTTGACTTCACCGCAGTCTACGATGGCCTTGCCACCAACACTGGCTTAATAGGGAAAGTGTGTGGTCGTACTCAGCCCACGTTTGAATCTTCCTCAAACCTGATGACAGTTGTGCTGTCTACAGACTATGCCAACTCCTACAGAGGGTTTTCTGCTCAGTACACCAGTGTCCCCCTGCCAGCCCCAGTGGAGCCCGACAGTAAGTACACTTGCTACCTGAAGAGGATGCTGCTTCCAGGGAGACCTTAGAGCACCTTCCAGTGCCTGAAGGGGCTGCAGGAAAACTGGGAAGGGGCTTTGTACAAGAGCATGGGGTGAGAGGACAAGGGGGAATGGATTAAAACTGGAGGAGGGGATATTTAGGTGAGACATCAGGATGAAATTCTTCATGATGAGGGCAGTAAGGTGCTGGAACAGGTTGCCCAGGGAGGTTGTGGCTGCCCCATCCCTGGAGGTGTTCAGGGGCAGGTTGGATGAGGCTTGTGCAGCCTGGTCTGGTGGGAGGTGTCCCTGCTCATGGCAGGGAGGTTGGGACCTGATGATCTTGAAGGTCCCTTCCAACCTTAACCCTTCCATGATTCTATGATTCCTCTTCTCACATACAATTCTTCCCTTTATACCCATCAAAAAGAACTGATGAGTGATACTGAGTATTCAGACCTTTTTATTGGCATCCATCAACCCTTTTTACATACCAAAATCCCACATTAGTCTCATCTATAGAGCATGAGTTATTACCTGACCATCTGCAAAACAAAGGCTGTTCTTTCACTTCTTGATCCTTTTTCTGGCTGGCACCACTGAAAACCTGAGTTTTCCCTTCTTTTGGGCAAAACAAGCGATGTTACCATCCTAGAGATGTAAAGACAGAACTGTGACTGGTGAAATGGTTTTGTTTACATGTGTGGCAGTTTCCTTTCCCTCAGAGTTGGAAACCATTTCCTTACTGATTCCATCTGCTCCTGTGTTCATCTTCTCATTCATCCAGGTGGAAAGTGAGCCTCTAAACCTTCATGCCTGCCATAAATCACTTTCCTCACCCCACCATTCTGCATTAGCACTTTGATTCCTTTTCCCTTTTATAAAGGCTACAATTCATTCTCCGTGTTACTGGGTTTAAAATTAAGCTTTCAGTGTATTATTACATGGGTTTGCTTATCTAACATTTTTTCAACTCAAGCACAAAACTTAGTCCCAATTTCTGCACAGCCTCAAATGTGCATGAGTAGTTTCAGCCTGACAATCAAGAACCATGCAACAGATTAAAGAATCTACGCTATGTGAGAAACAACTGCAGCACAGCTTGTGGTAATGTTGTTTTCTTCTGGTTTGTTTTTTTCCAATGGCAGCATTCCTTACCTGCACTTCAGAGAGCATGAAAATTGTTCTGAGCAAGTCTTATCTGGCCTCCCTTGGTTATAATGAAACTCAGCTACAGCTGAATGATCCATCTTGCCGTCCACTTGTAACAGATTCAGTGATCTTTTCCTTCCCATTAGCCAGCTGTGGAACAACTAAAAAGGTAATGGGGGGGAAAAATACTCCATGAAAAACCAACAATAGCTTATGGATGACAAGAACTTGTGGAAGCAGTTTATGACTAGCATGTGAACAAGCTAACAATAGATTCCCTTTCACTTTGCTCACCTTGTTGCGTGTTTCCAATCTTGAAATAGAAAGAACATTTTTCCTCTTTAAGACCCTGAAGATCCATGAGGTTTTCAAAGGAAGTCCAGGAGAGTCCACAAATATTAACCCCAAATGTTTCACTCCCTCTCCAACCCAGGTTATCAGAAATAGCTCAATGTTAGATATGCAACTTAAACATCCTCTGCTGGTGCTCATCCTGGAGTCACAAGGAAGGGGAGAAACCTTAACTGTGAAAATTCCCAAGAGCCAGTTCACTGCATTGTTTTGATAAGGGTGACCGAAGCTTGGCTTTGAGGCTTCCCATGTTCCATGCAGTATTCCTTAACATTTGTGCTGCATGGGTTGGCTCAGTGTTATGAAAAAAATAGGAGGAGGGTTGATAATGGTTTCTTGGTCGCAATTTGGTTCACATTCCAAAAGTATCTTGAGCCTCTGATGAGCATAGCTGGGTGGTTTGGCGTCTTCATTCAACTGCTTTTAGTTGCACTGCTCATCTAATCCCAACTGAGCACTTCCTGTGATTCCTTTTGCAGGATGAAGGTCACAGCATCACTTACACCAACATCATCTCTCTCGCCGCAACTGGCAGCGTTATCACCCGTCAAAAGAACATAGAGATCATTGCAAAATGCAAAATGGAAAACAATTCAACCTTAGAAGTCATTTACATCACCAAAAATAATGTCATCCAGAACACAACTGCCACGGGAAGTTACAACGTCAGCATGTCATTCTATGACTCAGACTCATTCTCCCAGCCTGTCCATCAGTCCCCATATTACGTAGACTTGAACCAGAACCTTTTTGCTCAAGTCAGCCTTCATTCCACTGACCCAAATCTTCTGGTGTTTGTTGATACCTGTATAGCATCTCCACAAGCTGATTTTGGATCCCCAACATATGACTTAATCAGAAGCGGGTAAGACTCTGGAGTAATTTTATTACTGTCTCTTTTGTAGGTGAGGAAAGACAATCTAAATGTCAACCAGAGTTTTTATTTTTGTTTCTCTTCCACTCACCTTCTTTGGCAGACTGTGGTTAGAAGCTATACTGCATAGAATTATAAACAGGGAAAACAACCACCAGGTTGAGGAAAAAAAGCCCATCATTGTTCACCCATCAAAACAAAGCCCAAGTTAAATGCTGCAGTTACAATTAAGAGTAGTTAGCAATAATTATTATTGCATGTGGACTGTTTAACAGCTCTGTAAATTCTCTTGCAGCTGCAAAAAAGATGACACAGTGGTGACCTACCCACCACTTAAGCACTATGGAAGGTTCAAGTTTAATGCCTTCAGGTTCCTGCGGAGCTTCCCCTCTGTTTACCTTCAGTGTGACATTGTCATCTGTGACAGCAATGCCACAGAGTCCCGCTGTACCCAGGGCTGTGTCTCCAGGCAGAAAAGAGCTCTTCCTACACACACATGGAAAACTAATACTGTAGTAGGTCCCATCCGCCTGAAGAGAGACCTGAGGTCTGCTGGTCACTCAGGTAAGAGGGACACATCAATGGAGGATCTGATTAAGCTCTTCCCTAGTGTAAATCTATTAGTTTTGCTCCACTAGTTCAAACCTAATGCGGCATCAAGAGCAACAGGCTCAAGAGAGCTTGTGTTTTGTGAGGTGGCAGAATTACTTGTGGAACTGGCAGACTGATGGTGTTTTGCATTAAGGTGTGCTCCTTCAGGTAGAAAAAGCAGAACTCCCTCATTCTTACAGAAGTAGTGGATGCAGGATCTGACCAGGCATTCAGAAAGTTATGAATGGCAGGAGAAGATCTCAGATTCTCCAACATTACTTTGAGTTTTACCAAGGACCAGCTAGTTAAACCATTAGAAGGCACAGGGTCAGAACCGCGAGTTCCTTTTTTGCCCAACTTTGCTTCAGCAATGTCTCCCCTCTACCCAGCTCTAGAGATGAGGACAGCACAGCCTGGCAGGAACTTGGCTACAGTGATGCCAAGGAATTTGTGAACATTGTGGTGTTCCCCTGCACTGCTGTTTTATTACGAATTCTTACAGCAATTCAGCACTACAGAGTTTGCAATCAGTGCAGATCATCCCCCAAGAACCAACAAATGCTTACTTAATTTCCAGTGAAATGACATGGTGGTCAAGACTTTAAACACCCCACTTTATTTTTTTTCTCCACACAGAATCCCTCACTAGAGCAGATGCTGAAGAAATGCCAAACCTGCAGCAGTACAACTTCTACTCTCTTTCCTTTGTGGTCTTAATTTCAAATATTATCGTTGTGGTAGCTGTGATACTGAAGTATCACAAACGCCAAGCAGGACATGGCTACCAAAAAATCCAGAGCTCATATTAACTCCTTCAGGATATTCTGAAGTTGTGTCAACTTCTATTCACCCAAAAAGAATAGAGGGGGGGGGATAAAACCCAAACCAACCAAAAATCAATAAACCAGCAGCCTTAGAACACAACCATGCTTGGAAAAGTAATTCAACATTTTTAATTTAAAAAACCCTCTCAACCTGGTATTCTATCATAAATAACTGAGTTGAAAAAGAAGGTGTCTACCTCAGAGTGTTCCTTAGAAAGCATCTAAAAACTAACACGACAGGTGTAAAGTGACTTGTAAAGTACAAGATAATTTAGGTCACTTTTTCTTAGGAAAAAAGAATTCTCCTTTTATCCTTTCAAATCACTTTGAAACTGCACCTGGCACGAGTTAAGCTGAGGGACAACTGCAAGATACCTGTTCAAAGCAAATTATCCTAATTTCAAAATCTACTCCTGTGTGTGGCTACTATCAAGATGTGACAGTCTTCAAAAGACCAGTTTTCCTGGAAAATAAAGTAACAGGCAGACTAAAGATTCTGGACTGTACACACCTGGGCTGCCTGTGAGTCAACGCTTGCTTCTCCATCCATGGCTTTTGCTCAGTGTATTTCAAGACACCCAATACAGCCAATGTCTGTGCACCCAACTTAGAAGTTGACCATTAAGCCTCTCTACAGTCCAAGTCAAATGGTGCACCCCAGAATTCAAAGAGTAATAAACAGAATGAAGTATGAAGCCTGACCTTTCACAAAAGAGAGACTTCGGGTCACGTTCCTACCTCCTCAGATGACAGCAGAACTGATCCCCAAGGCTGAAAATAAAATATGATGCAATAAGGCTCCTGTGCTGGCCTAAGGTTGGTGCAAGGCAGCAGATCCTACCTACCCCAGCAGATCCTATCTGGCAACAAAGTCCCCCTGAGAGGAACCACGAATGAACTACTCACATTTCTTAGGATAATGAAACATGGATAAATACCAGCCTGCCAAGAACACACTCATTTCAGTTGTTCCTGTTTCAGTCTGTTACTTTAGGAGGAAAAAAGTAACATGACAGTCTTGTTTTCCATGTCACTTAAGGAACCCAGATTCCTAACTTAGGTGCCTGCAGAGCCAGCAAGGCTTTCACAAAAGCCAGGCTGAGGTTCAACGCAGCCTGTCTCCCTAAACCTGCCTCCTTAAATAGTTTAAGTCAGGCAATGCCAGTACTACTCTTCCTCCTAGATGGAGCAACCACCATCTTCAACAGGGATGCCATCAAAAGAAACCAAAAGCACAAGGAAACTACATTCTGTCCTACTGGTAACAAGTTACACGTACAACAAAAGAGTGAACTGATCACATGCAGGTAAAAAAATAAGCTGTAACTCAGTTTATTTAGAGTACTTCTCTATTGTCCAAACTGAAACTGGGAAAGTGTCTCATACAGCTTTTAGCAATGCTTTTTAAATAAATAACCCACAAAGGGCATACAAAATTCTTATATTTAGCAAAAAATCCACACGTCCTTAAGATCCTTGATAAAAACTAACAACTGTGTACAATAGTGGGTAGAATTACAGTAACAAAATGCAAATCAACAACACTGTGGTTTCTTTACAGTTATTACTCCATAAATACTAAGCTCTGTAAAGTGTAATTGCCCTTAAAGTACTTACATATCTATACACATCTACCTCTCTCCATTAGAGAGCCCCTCATTCGAATCATAGTGAGCTTGTGAAATTTTGTTCGGCTTTGAGTTCTGAACCAAGTCCATCAGGAGAACCATTTTATTATCTATATGTGTCTGAAGAGCCTGGATTTGATGATCAATATAGTCCATTAGTTTTTTCTCCATCAGATCCATATTTTTGGAGATTATCTTTTCCAAATAGGAGCAAATAGGCTGTTGTTCTACTCTGAAAAGAGAAAATGGGGGAGTAACTATAACTTCTTTCTAATGACAAGAGGGTATGATAAGAGATCTGGTCACTTCAACTTCTTTTAAATGTAAAACCTCATTTATGAGACAGTACATTTTAGAAGGTATTAGATTTTTAGCACAAGTAAAATACCTTGCTTGCCTGCCACATTTTAAATCTCAGATTTAATAAATATGCAAGGCTCTGGAGACATCTTTCAACCTGCTTATTTTTTCTAAGGCTTAATTATGCATTATACACCTTAGTTACGTGTAACAAAATCCACACAATATTCAAGAGTTCAAATTCTGTCTGCATGGTAGACTTTACTCTTCTCAGCTGAAGTGTTTCAAGTGAAACTTTGCAATCCTTTACTTGTGCATCTGCATTCTTTAAAAATGGGACTAAAATGCTTAATTATGTAATTTAATTTTTTTAACTTGTCAATAAACACAGTCAAATGCTACTTTAGCAGGCGTGCCAAACTTAACTTACCCAACACAGTGGATGCTTTCCTCTTTAGCCACTGCACTTTTGCCAAACTGCCTCTCACCATCTTTCAGCCTGAGATGATTCACCTGACTGCACAGGTTGTGGAGGAAAGGAAGAAGCACCTGTGGGTGAGCTACACTTGGGGGTTCATTCGCTTGCGCCTGCACGTGCAAAGATCCCATGACTTTCAAATAACTCCTGAGGTCAGATGGATTTGGGTGGAGACTCAGTCTGTCAGAATCCAAAGCATTCCCTCTTTCAGGTACCTGTGTGCTCAGATCACCCCTCATTTTTAAGTCTTCACACACTGTTTCACTCGTTACATCATTCTGAACACGCAAAGGTTCCCTGGCTGGTTGATCTGCTGGTGTCTGGATAGCTGCACTCTGCAACCCGTCTACTGCAGGGCCACCCCCAAAGTCTGAATTTTTCCCAAAGATCCAGTTAAGTTTGTCTCCAAGAGGTAAACTGTTCTGGTGGGAACAAAACCAATACAGTTCAGTATTAAAATATACTGGAAATTATACAATAGTAACAACAGACAGTTTGTAACTCAGCATTCCACTAGTGTGGTGTAAAGATTTTTAAAGTCATCCTGAATTATGTTCCTAGGGAAAAGCACAGGGATATATTTTCCCTGGACAAATTATGTGTTAGTTATCTTGTCGGTTTCTAAGTAACAAAACAGTTTCACTGACTTCGTTCTTACCATGCTATGTCCCCAGAACTGAACATCATTCACATCAGATGGATTCAGGATTATATTGGAATAGCCTACTTTGCAGGATCGAGATCTAAATCAAATAAATGCTCTGTAGAGCATTTTCCCTTCTTAGTAACCATAAAGGAGACAAGCCAAACCCCAACATCACAGGGAACATGCCCACCATCATTGAGAAGCAGTGGCAATGGAAATGAACAAAAGGAGAGTGGGGTGGCAGTGAGGTTTTAAATTATGATGGTACAGAGTTCTTAACTCTGAGCTTGGTGTATGCAGTGATTGCCTGAGCACACAATCTTTAATCATTGCACTTAGGAGTGGCAATAACTAAACCAGAATTAAAATGGCAGAATGCGTGGGCTAAAAAATAATAATAATAATTTAAAAATCAACAATCTTTGCCACCAGATCAATTTAGAACATGCTTTGACTGTGTTCCAGAAGGTAAGGCCCAGACCAGTACTGCTTCTTTCTGTGGAGAAGCAGGATGACTTACTTTCTGCTGACATCGGACCATGTCCATGAGCTGCTGAGCACCTGGAGACAACCTGGATCCCATGGAGTCCATTATAGTTTGCACCCTGTCCAGATCTATGCTTGAGCCTAGTGCAGGCACATCAGCTGCTAGTTTTTCAGACACTGGATTCATTTGCACAATTATTTTACTGATGAGCACTCGTTGTTTATCCCCTATGGAAAGCAGCTATTGCAAGACAAACAAATGGTGGTTAGCAAAATCATAGATGGAAAGCAGCTATTGCAAGAAGACAAACAAATGGTGGTTAGCAAAATCATAGCTTTATGTTTTCTCTCTATGTATGGAGCAATGCATTATTTTTTGAGCCTCAGAGAACTCTGCTAGCAAGACAAAGCACCACCTAACAGACTTTTAAGTGATTATATGAAGTGATCCAAGTGTATAAAACAAGTGATTTGACTAAAAGCAATGCAATTTAGTTAAAGAAAAAGAAAACTATTCTGTTCAATCCCTACCTTAATTCTACAGGAGGCTGCAGGGCACTCAAACTTAAGGTACTTCTTGTATAAAGTAACTTTTTCAGCTTCCCTAGAAAAACAAAATAAACGAGCTGTGGCATCAATATAGAAAGTACTTTCTTCTTTAACAGAAATAAGACTATATTGGGAAATATTCAGATAAGAAACAAGACTGACTGGAACGTATTTCTAACATGGTACAGCAGTTTTGATGCTTATATTCAACTTGTACTGAATCTTGTCAGGTAGGTATGTAAAAAAAGGGTCTGTATGTGTATGTACATCTACCAGAGAAGCTTTTGAGGCTCAGTAGGTTATTCACACATCTTTCCTCAGGCTCTGAGTCGGCTGTTTTTATTTAGCTAATTAAGCAGCAGATGTGCTGTATAACGACTTATAAACAAAAGACAAGACATTGCTTTAAATTCCCCTGGCACAGAGGAGGAAGAACTGAAGGTGAAAACAAACCTTTTTCTCACCCTTGAAGTCTGAGACTACTGCATAACAGAGAGACAGGAGATCGTTTGGTAGAGATCAGCTAGAGGAGAGATCCTGTCCAGAAAAATTAAGCAACGCAGAAAACCTGCACCTGCCCTAACTCCTTCTGTGGCCTTATACAGGGGGGTTTCAGAACAGCACTTGATAACTGACTGGATTAATAATTTTGCTAATTAGAAAGGGCGCTGGCAGAACTGCAGCCCCGTATTTGATCAAAGGGGCAGCACTGTGTGTTCAGCAAGCGTGCAGGGCACACCAGGGCAGCCACCCCAGGGCTGTCACCCCCCCCAAGGGCTGTCACCCCAGGGCTGTCAGGCACACCAGGGCTGTCAGTCAGGCACCTCGGGGCTGTCAGGCACCCCGGGGCTGTCACCCTTGCCAGGGCTGTCAGTCACACCAGGGCTGTCACCCCTGCTAGGGCTGTCAGGCACCCCGGGGCTGTCACCCCAGGGCTGTCAGGCACACCAGGGCTGTCAGGCACCCCCCTCGGGGCTGTCAGGCACCCCGGGGCTGTCACCCTTGCCAGGGCTGTCAGTCACACCAGGGCTGTCACCCCTGCTAGGGCTGTCAGGCACCCCGGGGCTGTCACCCCACGGCTGTCCGGCACCACAGGG